TATCGTGCATCAGGTTGCCAATATAAAACAAATTTACAGCAGCTGCCTGCATGTTGTCTGGATCGTTGGGATCAGCTTCTGGATTGAATTTAGTGTCAAACACACCATCAATGCCGGTTCCTGGAGCTGGCGGTGATTTTGTAAAGTCGACAGCATTAACGTTGTTACCCTGAGTGGCAGTTCCGTTTGTCCATCCGTTGGGCGACGATGGTTTGTATTCTGGATCTTTGATGTCTGAAAACCCACCGTCATTGGGATTGAAACCAGGAACTTGGATAGCCTTGTATGTTGCACGATGGGCGAAATCAACAGCCTGGATCAGTTTGCCTAGTATCAATCCATTTACATTCAGATTAGTGCTGATTCCACAAAAATCAATACCTGAACCCAAAATACCATACCAGTGTTAGCATCGGCCCAGACTTGGATCCAAGAATTAACATCCTTGTCGCGAAGCTGAAATTTGTAAGCATACACAAGCGTGCCATCTCCTTGTTGAACATACTCCAATTCGTAATCAAACTCGGTATGAACGAGCAAGCCCTTGGCCTTGGACACAATATCAGCAACCTGCTCAAACGTCAGTTTGGTTTTGGGTTCCGCAATTGAAAGCTCACTTTTGGCAAAATGGCTTTCAGTACCAAACGAAGCAGAGTACGAGACAATCTGGCCGTCCTGGATATGGACTGCGGCTTGGTGATTGGCTACACGTGCATTATTAACCATGTGTGCACCATATATGTGTGTTACACCTGCGCCGTCTGTGAAATTATTGTAAACCTTGAACTCGTTAGGTGTGAGATTGAGTTTGTCACAGAGATACGCAACACCAGTTTTGACTGGATCAGCACTGGACGAAGCCATGAGGCTGGATGAGTGATCATAAGGAATCTGCTGGTAAGTGGATTTGGGAAAGTAGAATGGAAGATCGTCAACGGCATCTTGTGTGGACGGAATGGTTGGGACTGCAAAAACTGCAGGGGTGGCAAGAGCAAGAACAAGAGCAACAGTAGAAACAAACATTTTAAAGTGTCTTCGATATTTATAGTGTATATGTAGCAAGTACAGGATCAAATTGTTACAACAATATGGGTCAATGAAATTGGCTGCATACCATTTCACGTTGTTTTATATTTTGAATCATACATTTTACAGTGTCGAGTTTACTAGATATACATGTGCTAATCAAGAAACATGAATATCAAATGCACGTGTGGATATATCACGTATCCAAATTATGCATGTGAAGCGGGTTCATTATTGCATTGCTTTTGATTAGAATAGTTGTGCAAATGACAAGTTTGATATGCACTACTATATAGTGTAGCATTAATACCCGTCTCCAACTGTAAATTAACCAAGCTCGAGATAATTAATGCAAAATGCATGTCATTGGAATGCGCTGTATCATGTGCAGCTTGTATATACTCCAAACTCGTGCATTGCAATTCAAATGCCAAATTCAAACTGACAAGACTGGACTGTTGGTATTCGTTAACGAGCTACCATAACATCGAATTTGAGTGTTTAACATGTACATGAAGCGTCCGTTTCACATCACCGACAGGTTTAGTTTGTATTGACTGTACGCATATCCTGCATGTGTTCAAAGACTTGTTGGAGCATGGATCGACTCTGAATACTCAAAAGTGGGCATATTATCGGTAATATAAGTTGCTTGAACTGATGGCATGCATGTTTATATACCAAGTTTGTCATATCACTATACCATTTGTGATCATGAATGGTTGCAGTTTCATCCACATCACACTGATTCAATCATGTGGTAAATGGAATGACTGAAGTACGTTTTTCATTTGAAGATTGAAATGGCCAGATTTGAGTTGATAAGCAAAAGCAGTGTAATAAGCAAACGTGTTGATTGGTCACCACTGTAATCAATTTGTAGATCGGATAAATGTGCGGCTAATTATGGGTGATGAGATAATACGGTAAATGAAAAAGGATATTATTGAGCAAGCAAATCTCGAATCACAAGCAATCTCAACAAAACATTAACTGGCAATGCATCAATTGCTTGATTCCAGATATGAGCTGTATAATTGAAATGGTCAATACCAGTCCAATCTTGGGTTATTCAAAATATTGCAGTCATGACAATGGTCAGTCAAACAGATTGGATCATTACAAGATGGTGTTGCATTGCTGATGCAAAAGCAGCAGTCGATGATGTGAGTAAAAAACCAAGTAGGTAGAATGTGGGCTCACTTGCAAGTGTGACTGCACGCTCATGTATAAATGAACAGTACCATGCATACAGTGGATACGACAGCTGCCAATGAATGGGATTATGCTGTGTTACAGTTGATCATGTTGATATGAAATGGTTGATTGCGATCGTTGCTCGAATTGTTGGTGTATTGTACAATTTTGCGGTTACAAGATCAATGACCACATGTATTGTGATGTAATGCCAGGTATACCATGGTTGAATCTGTTATGCTGGAATTTGGGTACTAATCACATGATATAGAAACAACAGAGTTGCCAAGACCAATCAATGTGCAAGTGAATGGTTGTTGAATGGAAAAATGTCAGATTAGTGTTTGCAAGACTAATGAAATGTGGACCATTGTAATACTTGCTGTAGTATACCATGTTGCACTGTTGATATCGCAGATCCAGTATCGACATGATCGTCTAAATATACAGTATTGATTGTCAAATACTGCAGAGTATCGTGCAGTATCATGAAATATCATGTAATGAATGTCAGTCTATTGATACTCGTGTATCAAACAATTACGATTGATTGTGCATGTGTCGTTGTTTTGTCACGACGTTGTATCATATCGACTGGAATGCATATCAATCGCGACACTGGACTCGATAATATTACGAGTTTAAACTATAAACTGATATGACATGATACATACATCGACTCCATCTGCATTAAATCTCATTGTGTAGTATTTCCTAATATCACCACCCAATTCAACAGGTGATCGTTTTGACAGCCTATTGTTTGATTGACTCGCACTTTCAAAAGGTGAATCTAATGCAAGTCGAACTGCAGCAACCGCTTGTAACGCAAGTATAACGCATTCTAGAGTAATCAGCATTGTATCGAGTATTGTAATGAAAATGGGTTGAGTCTGGTACATGACTGCCGTTTTATAATGACGGCAGCTTCAAGGGTGACAATCGGCAACTTTCAAATGGATATTTAGAAAAAACGCCAAATGCATCATATGGGGTTGACAAACCCAGAAACACACCGTAGGGTGAATCAATATACAAGCATCGCTGTTAGTGTATAATCGACCTCGGTAGTATGCTGCATTAACATTTTCAACTGCGGTCATGCATCCAGTGATCAGATAGTGTCAGATCATTACCCTGATCATGGATAGTTATCATCGCATATACAATCCATTACTACAATATATACTGTCACTGTATACCAAATATTTGACTGATTGTTCAATTGGTCATGTTTTGGATCACTCGGACACAACAGCATCAAACAGCCTGTTGCAGTATTTCAAACCATGACTTTTCCGTTGGTATGACTGCACGATCATTTTAGGTTAATCTAGACTGTATACATCAAACACTGCTGATTGTATCACAACATGATCAACATCAAACTCGGCAAACTATTATCGATACACTGAATGAGTGACATTGTACTATAATTGAATTGGAGATTGGCAGGTCGTTCAACAAACTGGCCGTGTCAACAGGTCAGATTGTCATCGTGGTAAATGAACCACAATGGATGATCATGCCATTCAAATCAACACACAATATACTGATATATGCAAAACAACACCACCAATACAATACAATTCAAACCCAATCACAAACGTGGTGTTGAATCCAATGCATGCGAGTACTTTTTAAACACATGATACACACTGATGGTGATGGTTGCTGACAGTCACATTGCAGTGTACATGTCCAATAGTGTCCACTGTCATGTCGATTGTTGCTATCCGTGATATCCAACTAGATCACAATCAATGTTGCTTCAAAATATAACACAGTAAACTAGCCACGAGTATCCAAGAGTATATCAATTGATGTGATCCAACAAAACAGCATAGTATTGACTGTTTTGTTAAAGTGCATTCAATCAAGACACTCCAGTATCTCGAGTAGAAATATCAGATCTGTTCACCTTTGTGCTGAATCCACAACAAATCGCACAGATTACAAGCAAAGTTTGAACAAGTCGAAATGGCTCAAATTTACAGCTGAAACCAAAATGGTATACAATCGCATTCATGTAGAGTTGAACACTATCTTGCAGTAATTGACTGTTGATTTGGAATAAACAATGTTGAATATTGGTTGTAGTTTTGTACTTGACATTGACGGTTGACTCAATATACATTATGAATTATTTTAAGCAGTGTCAGTGATATGATGCACACAAACTATGATTTGAACTGAAATAGTCCTGAATCAGCGTTTGTTGTTTCTGTTGTATTCTGAATCACAGATACGATTGCAATCTAGTTCAACAACAATGATGACACATGCCAGTAATGCAACTGTTGTTTGTATGTCAACCAGTCCATGACACTGACTGTTTATCACACACCAACACTGTTATTTAGCAGTCCATTTGACGTCAATACGGTACCACCAATACCATGCTGCATATATTACATTGCAAACTGACATAAAACAACACTAATTGACCAATATCAAACCAGTTGATGTTGCAATCTACATCCGACTTTGAACAAATGTATTGCTCCGTTTGTTGTACAATACACGACATGATCAGTTTGTGGTATCATGCAACTGACAAGTGATTGCAAGTCCAACTGATAGTTACAATCAACACTGGTTGTTATCAAGTCATTAATGTATATGTAATAAACCGTGTCAATGTATCAATCAACAACCCAGTAACTATTGATGTAATACCCAACACAGTATGCAACCAATAATATGGCTGTTGACCCATTCACAATACTCGACAAATATCAACACACCAGAAAGTTTAAATTTATTCAAAATCAAATTCATCGATGCATCATCAATCCTAATCCTAATTCGGGTTTCCAAATTCCAAACCATGCTTTTTCATAAACCTTTTCAGCTTTAGCTTCGTATATTCTACATGTTTCGTTGCTATAATATACTCTTTTTTATATTTTCTTTCAGCTTCTGAGCTGTACCTTGATCCATATATCACTTCCCCTCTTGATAACGCTACCTTTTGTTTGAATCTATTGATTACATAGCTATTATAGGCTTGGCGTTTTTTCCTTTGTATTATTTCGGCTTCTTCAATTCCACTCTTTAGTTTATCAAGCATCCAAAGCTTTGTGCCAGGTTGAATATCTTGATTTGAACCAGTATTTTCCGACTTTTCTTTGTTGATTGGCCGTTTCCAGCTTTTGTTGGAAGTGTTCGGGTTAGTTTCATCCATTGGTTGTTGGTCTTTTTCGGCAGTGTTTGAATTAATTTGATCAATTAGGCTTTTCCATTCTTTGGGAATATTTGGATCGGGTTTATCAATTAGGTATTGCCAGTATTGTTCGGAAATGTTTAAATCAAGTTCATTAGTTGGTTGCTGTTGGTCTTTGTTGGAAGTGCTTGAACCAGCTACATCTATTAGTTGTTGGTCTTGGTTTGAAGTGCCTGAATTAAGTGTATCCAATAGCTGCTTCCAGTCTTCAGGAGTGCTTAACCTGATTTCGTTCATTAGAATTCTCGAGTATTCGTCGAGAACACTTGGATCAACTAAATTTACTGGGACTTTCCAGTATTTGCTGAGAACTCTTGGATCAACTACATTCATTGGTTGTTGTTGGCTTTGGTCAGAAGTGTTTGGACTGGGTTCATTGGTTGGGTCAGACACTTGACTGGAAGTTTCTGATGCCTGTGGTGAGCCATCGCTATCAGCCGGGATCAATATTGCATTAGCGGTTGCTGCTGCGCTCAGTACAAATAAAATGTCGATGAATTTCATCAGATCGATAGATGAGTTTAAACAATTAGTGGAAAAACAGAGTGTTGAAACTGATGTTGATTATAAAACTGAACGTACTCCAAAGTATTTGTATTTTTTGTATAGCAAGCCAACCCAACCCTTTTAGGTTAACCAACTATACAGGGTTACTTGATTGCTTGTAGTGGTTTACTATCAAGCTAAACAGTGTGGTGCTCCCTAATCATAATATTATATTGATCAATTTGCTATTCATGTCAATTTGATTATGCTTTTGCGACCCTTTTATTGGATGTCTTGAAAACGCACCCTTCAGGAGTGTTGTGTAGCCTTGTAAACGCTCCCTTTTACAACCGTATTCATGTAGAGTGGATTACTTGTATTCATGTTGTAGCGACTTTGTTTCGCTTCAGAATACACAATGGTTATATATTTGTTACTACGCATTGACCGTTTCTTTAATGAAAATCATAAGATACACAACCCTAACTCTGACACTGTTATTTAGTGATCCATTTATGTCAATACGACTGCAAGTTGTCGTTATATGACGTATTCTGGACATGGTTTTGATATTGCACATCCAGTTCCATCACATTGTTGCTGACCCATGATTGTAACACTGTATGTCACCATAATCATGAACATGGACATGAACATGTGGTTTCATGTATAATATTACAACCACGCATGTCGTTGGTCGAATCATCACTACTAGTGTATACTACACTACACTACACTACATTACATGTATGTTGGCATGCGGTGCACCAAGTTGGTTGCATTGCTACAATGTGGCATGCTCCAACCTGTTTAAATGACTGTTGTGCAACACATTGATATGGTACACATGTGATATTGGTGTTGCATGTGTCAATACGACATGCCAAGCAATATCATATCGACACAATACACACATGCATGTCAGCATCATCAATGTGTACAACTATGCAATATACAATCAACTGTATTGTATTGTATTGTAAATACAAGTGTCAATGCACAATATGATATCATGCCAACCAAAACTGGAATAATCAGATACAATATTAAACGGCGATTGTATTGTATTTTATTCAAACAAAAATACAACATATTCGGTTGAAACCAATACAGATTAGCAATCAAATCAATCAGATGAATCTTCATGTTTGGGTTGACCCTATTCATCACACATATCACTGTGTACCACACGAAACTCTGTGTACACCGAACGTCGTTTGATCAGTTTGAGTGCGTTGAGCTATATGCGTATCAATCATATCGGGTGTAGACTACCATCATCTTGACACAATGTTCATGATCCATGGACCCATTATCACAATCATGACATCAATCAGCCGACCGTGTAATTGTGTCATTGTATGATTAGCGGTCAAACCATATACTAACCACTTGCCAACATCTACACATGAATTATTGTGCTGTTGGACATTACACACGATGGATAGCACGAGTGTTGTATCTGACTGATCTGATTGACATTACATGTATGAATACAATCACATTTGGGTTTGACAACATCGGAATGTTGATGTTCAAGTTGAATACTCGGTATTGGAATCCAGACATTTAGTTTGATGAACCATATCATGATCGCATAGTTCAGTCACGATCCAATTTACATGAACAGTCGAGTTGTGTAGTTTGGGTTCAGCTCGACACATTTTTATTGTCAATCTCGAACAGAACATCAAAAGTGAATCAAGGTCAACTGGAACAATCAACAGATTGGATTAAGTATGTGTAGTCACACTGGATTGCATATACTGACCACAGTAAACAACTCGAGTGTCATTTTGCTGGATCCAAGCAAGTTGTCATTCAACAAGTAGGTCTTGCATTGCATTTATGTTGTCAAGTATGATTGGATGTTGAATGGTCATTGTAACCAATTGGTGTTATTGTTATCAATGTCAAAGTGTAAACTGATGTCCATGTTAATGTATATGATAGTGTCTAATGTTGGTTGAACTGCAGACTATGCACTCAAATATGGTTGATTGATTGTGTAATGTTGTACAAACAACTGGTAAATCAAGCTGTCAAACACAGACCAAGTATGACGATGGAATGTCGGTCATTCATGTATTGGATGGTCAACGTATTTTACAGACATCATTACTTGTTGATCATGTCATGACCAATATTGATTGTGTAGTTCAGAATTTACAATGATTGCGAGTATGGTATACAGTGATGATCGGTTCAAAGTATCACATCGATTAAACAACCAACTTGCACAATGCATGCAATCACCAAACCATCAAGTCAAAATGACAGCAAACCATGATTGACATTCAACTCATCTGGTGTCGATATGTATGTAGGCGATATACACAGTTGCTCAATCATGAGTATAACTGCAGCGTCGAGTTTATAGTTGATATGGTTACGAGTTCGATCAACAAGTGTCCACATTGTCGACTGGCCTATTATCGACCGTTTGCAGTGATATTGATGATGAAAATGTATGTTTACAACAATACAGTATTGAATCAGTTTGGATAGCGTGTCGAGTTTTGTTTTGTTGATTGTATACTTGACATTGGACTAAGAGCATGCATGATCTGGATAGCTGGAACAATTGTATCCAATATGCGGGAGTTTCCTGTATCGCTTGTACGATCGTTGGTTTTTGAGCAATTGACAATATCGATGTGTGATGCTGGTATGGGGAATATTTGTACATATGTTTGATCATGTCAGCGACATGATTGAGAAATCTAAAAACAAGGCCGAGATGATCAAGGTGTTTCAAGATTATGAAATTGTAAAGCAACTCATCACTATTTATTCACGCAGATATCTATGTTTGCATGATTATGATAGTGGTATTGTAAAACTACTCAAAACACTTGTTGATTTTGCCGACAATCATTCCGACAGTTCAATACGTACCGAGTTGGATCAAGGCAGGATATTTGAAAATCTAATGGCTGTTGTACAATCGGATGATACTGATCACAGAGACAAGAGGGTTGCTGCCCAGATCATTGAAACGTGTTTCCAGCACCTGGTTCACGTTGCTAGTTCAAGTATTCAGCTATACAAGGACAATGCCAAAATTGATATGAGTTCTGGAATGGCCGGATATACACATGGACAGGCACGCACACTTGTCGAAATGCAGTATATCCAGTATCTGCAATCTATACTTTGCAAACCCATGTGGTGGATCGATATCACAAACCAGCATATTGTGGAGCAATGGAGGGCCGACTCATTCGTTCAGAATATATCACCATCAACATTTAATCTTGCATTGGAACAACTCGGGGTTTTTGTCAAACAGCTTGTTTGTAGTGGCAGTGATGGATTGGGCACAATTGTACCAGGACCTGTTGAACTGACGTATATACTGGACAATGGCATACCTGACAATGTATACACGCGATTGATGACAAATGTATCGGATATTGAACATGAATCAAATCACAACACTGGTCAAATGGTGCACAATCTGATTGATGCATCAATGTACAGTGTTGTATATGGACAAACGATGATTGCACCACTGAGTATACGACTCAAATACACCACAATGGTACCATGCGATATATTGTCATCGACTCAACTTGTTTCAAGTGTGCCCATCATTGACGGCGATTTCGAGTTTATATCACGCAAGTTCCAATGTCTTCCGAGTGAATTCCGTGTCGAACAGGATGGCAGTGTGACCATCAACTCATACATCAACAATCTGAATCCGATATGGCATCGAGACATGTACAAATGCATTGCCAAAATATTCAAATGTTTTGTCCCAATGTTTGAAAGTCTGATCAGAACGATGGATCCAATGTTCAAGTATATTGATATTCACAATGGCACAAAGGGATCTGAACCACCAAACCAATCAAGTCGTGGTGGTATGGAATCAGACACTCGAGTCACTCGTCCCGTGTATGTACCAACACTTCCGGAACATTTTGAACCCAGTTATGAATCAGCAAAGCCAGTATCACTGCGTGGTCGTAATTTACAAGTCATTGTCAAACTCACCAACATTCAACTGACACCATCCAAACCTAAATACGACAAGGGAAACTGGCACATTGAAGGTCCAATTAACGAATCGATTGCTGCAATTGGACTGTATTACTACGACGTAGAAAATATCACCACACCCAAACTCGATTTCCGCGCGGCTGTTAATCGTTTTGATGAAAGAGCATCTGATATGTATTGGAAAGATGTGTATGGCATTGATCAAGAATCACCGCATAATCAGTATATAGGATCGCTTGAGTTACCAAATGGTCGATGTGCAGTTTATCCCAATCGATACCAACACAAAGAACAATCATTTGAACTTGCAGATCCAACTCAACCAGGACACTGCAAGATTCTGACATTTTTTGTAGTGAATCCAGTCTGTCGGATTGTTTCGACTGCGCATGTGGCTCCACAACAACCACAATGGTACAACTCGAGTCTTGACAAGACACCCATACTGCCTGAACTGTGGAATGATATCACGCAGTATATTCAAGGTGTTCAATCACCAGCTGGAGCCAAACACTATCGAGATGAATTGACAACTGACCGAGCTCAAATCACAGCAGCATACAACAAATACATGTACGAGCGGGTGTATAATCTTGGTTTATTGTGAGGTTGTGATTTTACAACAATGAGTTGTAATAGTTTGATATGAACATGATGACTCGGACTCTATTCAGTCGGATCAACTCGACTACAATTGGTCGTGTATATTATGATTGACACGACCAATTGTAGTTGAACTCGAATACAGATTGACTGTTGAATCACAATGCGTGGTATCAGCAACATGATGTGCTATATAGTGGAATGTATACGCTAACCTGACATGTGTCATGTAGTGTGTATTCGATCAATATGGGTATTAACCAAAGTTGTGACTGATTGCCAATGTATGATTCTCACTCGGCCTCGAGCCAACAAATATCCTTTTTTATCACGACACTTTAAACTGCAGTTCAATATTTAGTTGTACAAAACAAACTTATCAATTTATAAACCGAATAGAAAAACTGAAAGTGTTATTTCTTAATGACATCAAAGTCGAGTGGAGGGCAAATAACAGCATATACAACAGCCATTGCCTCCATAACACAAGCGGCATATTGTAAGATAAGTGCCAAAGGAATACACAAGATAATTAAGATTGGATTGAGTTTACGATCTACATTCTGAACCAAAATACCAATTTGGTATAGATAGGTGAATGTAACAAAAGAAAAATCTTTGACAAATCCAAACCAACGAGGGGTACCTTGTTTGACAATAAAACCTAGAACAAGAGCAGCGAGTGTACAAAAAAGTGAAAGGGTACCGATGCCCCAGAAAAAGGCCCATATTTTGGGAAGTATATATGGAAGACGACGAATACCAACAAACCATCGACGACGCTGCTTAAGAAAGCCAATAAAATCAACGGGTGACTGTTCACGAATGATGCCAGGCACCTTGCTGCACTTGAATCCACTTCTGTGGGCACTCACGGCAAACTGATAATCTTCAGTTAGCGAGCCAAGATCCCAAGTAACAGAGTTTTCTACAGCGCCATTGTTGAGCAGGAAAGAGCCGTGAGCACCGAAAATAGGGGAATGGAAGTACGAGTATTGCAGAGCGAAACGAGACAAGTCATCGCCAACACGAATGGCATCGGCACCAGTAAAAAACCAATTGGACCAGTACTTGTACTGGTTGTACAGGATGATGCCCTGGCCCCAGTGATAATCGTGTTCATACCAGATAAACTCGAGAATAGTTTTGATAGTCTCGTCGTCAACAACAGACTCTTCGTCCAAATGCAAAACCCAGTCGTGTTCAGTGAAGCGCATAGTCTGGCGATACCATTCCAAAGCACGAGCCTTGTATTTTGAGCTTTTAGTGCGGAAAAGCTTAGGACAGGTGTAGCAATTGATATTTTCAAAAAAGTAGGGTTCATCAGTGAGGACATGAACACGCACACATGGATGTAAACGCTCGAGATGTTTATGAGCGTTCCATGAACGATATACGGCCTCACGATTGTCACCTTTGGTGACAGTTAAAATGTAAAGATTATCGACCCTGCGCTTGGGTAGCGAGTCGCTATAGAGAAACTTTGGGGTACGAAACGGAAGAATCAGTCCAAAAAAGCAAATAATGGTGTATGGAAAAGGCAAAATCCATCCTACAAGACAAACCAATCGCGTTAGTAAAGTCAATGAAACACACGTGATTTGTACAAAACCAAAAGCCCAGCCATGTGACAAACAATTGGGACCCTGAAAAACCAAAACATTGAAACTCACCAATCTTCCAGTAGCAAGAGTAGTTCCAGAGCACATTATCTACATAATCCTGAGGCATCTTAAAGTGGAACAGGTATGTGCCGCCCACAATGAAAATAAGGGAAAAGATCCACCATTCAGAAAGTACTGCAATTAGAAACTTTGTGTTACCAGTGTTAGTGCGAATACCAGCATCATCGCCCAGCGCGTATGAGCGGGCTGGAACATTGGGATTAGAAACAGGGGGAGTGGATCCATCTTGTTCAGACTGTTGAAGAGGATATGGCTTTTGAGCGGCAACCCGAGGCTGATTGGGACCCAATATGCCAGAAGCGGCAGGACCAGCACGGGTTTCTGGAGTATCTTCATAGAAAGTGCCAGTAGATTCGGAAGCGGCATCGTCCCAGTCCTGTAAGCCATTGTTGGCAGCGGGTGATTGCATTCCCTGAGCATTAGGATAACCCATCTGTCCAGGATTTAGACGAAGCTGCTGAGGTGCATATCCATATCCTTGGGGTGGCTGATAATTAACATTGTGTTGATGTTGGCCAGGAGGGTTAAAAGGAGGACGAGGACCACCAGCACCACCACCTTGCATGACAGGGTTAGAAGGCTGGTATGGTGCATAACCATGAGCAACATGGGGAATAGGTCTGTATTGAGTAGACGAGGGCGGAGGTATGCGCTGTCTGTTCATGTTGGGACTGGGATGTTGTTGCATTTGTGGTGCACCAGGCTGACCTTGGTAATGCTGCTGCATTTGTGGTGTACCAGATTGATGAGCCTGTTGGTTCTGATAATGCTGCTGCTGCTGGGAATAATACTGATTGTATTGCTGCTGCTGTTGAGCCTGTTGCTGCTGTTGCGGCATAGAACCCACTTGCAATGGCATCGAATCAGGTGGCGGCGATTGCCGATATTGGGGTTGCGGTTGATTGCGTAATGGCAGCGCCTGCTGCTCTGGTCGACTAGGAGATTCAGACAATTGCATTGCAGTACCCAATGCTAAACAGGTTTACTATACTGAACACAGAAAGTAATCAGGTTAGAATATAGAACCGAAATAGTCGGGGTATTAGAATGATTTACAACCCAAAGTAAAAGGATTAGAATGAAGGGGTTTGTAGGGTTTTAAGGGTGCTGGGCATAGCTTACAACAATTTCCTAAAATAAATAGGGATTATATACAATGGCGTTGTCGAGCCATCAAACAATACGAGCAAGTGCCAGAAAAATTATGCATTCAAGGGGGCAGGGCGAGTTACAACAATAGCAGATTGCAGGCAAAATCATAGCATCAGTTAATGTATACCTTATTGCACAAGCAGAACTATTAGCTCTTTCAGTTAATAGTATATACAAGATGCTATATTAGAAAATTACAGAATGGACAGGATATTCAGTATCAATCGACAGGTTCCAATAGACAACTAGAAACAAAAGTACAAAATAAAGAGTGGGAAAGAATAGAATTGAAATTTAAGACTCGAATAAGTGGCAAACTAGATGTTTGTTTGAAAGTTAATGTGGACCCAGCACGACTAAATGGCGATTACACCAAATTGATTGGGCAATCTTGACAAGGCGGAGATGTAGCAATAAGCCATGATAATAGTGGAAAAATTCTTACTGTAGACTAATAGACAAGGTGGTTGCGTAGTAGACGCAGCTGCAGAGAATCGACTGGCTAGCGCGCTGAGAGAATTCAATTGGCTGAACTCGAGTGGCAAATCACGCGTGTTCTAAAAAATCAAAAAGTTAGCTGAGTCGCAGTTTATTGTTGGCTGTGTAGTCTGGATTTCAAGCCTATTATTGTTTGATAATAATCGGAATGGGGCCCAGAGTCAAGCTGAAACATTGCTTGCTAACGGGTAGATCTTTTATTGACAGCCCATACTGTAACCATTCAGGTCTAGTCAAAGCATTCTGCTATGCATCAGTTTCATGTGCCTCCCTTTTACAGCATTTTTAATGGAAATCAATTTAGGAGCGATACAAACACCAAGATCGTCCTGGCTGAATATTTTCAGGAACAGAAGTCCCTTGATGAAGCAGACAGTCGCTGCATTCAAGTTGAAGGAGGGATACTCGGTCATAACAAGTGCAATCAAACCCAAAAACTTACCAAAATATATTCAGAAATAGATGGTAGAGATTAAATGGGCAGCTCAACTGCAAGTAAACAACTAATATGCCTAAATTGAATTAGCTGGTTGCGGGGAATGGGTTTGAATTTATCATATGTGGGTTGCCCAGCCTCGGCTATTTTGCATGAGGCAAGTCATACCTTTCCAATCCACATTCAATTAAAAAGCAGTCTTGCTTGGATGTGGCTCAGCGATTATAAGCCATGTATAAGCCTGCATTGTTGGGGGAGGTTATGGATGAATCTTGAACTGCAAGACCAAACAGAAGCAATTTCTGTTTAATCCGACTTTTTTGAATAGCTACTATTTCAGCCATCTCTACAAAGATTGTTTGGGCTATACTAGCTTATTTGCCACCAATTCTGGTTTATTGTCAACTGTATGACCTGATCTATATCTATCCAGATTCATGTTGATGCGCAGCATATACTTTGGAATATCCTGCACTCTTTCCACTTGCTGGCAATTGCTCCTTCATTCTCAGACATGCCATGATTTCAATGTTTTGAGCAATGCAAATCTACCAACTGCATTCAATTTGATTCCAAGCATGTAGACTGGGCTGTGACGTAGGCAGAAATGGTATGACCATAAAGCTTCAAGTCACCCTTAATCAGATATCGACTGACAGGGCCAGTTCGTACTAGACTCCCTAACATTAAGCCAGATCCGTAGTATTGTGTTTATCAAAATTTCAATGGTCAAGTGTGCCTCAAGGTATCCTGCTTGGGACTGGTCTGCCAAAACCAGACAGCAATGTTCAAACGTGACACTCTGACTCGACACAGGAATATTTTATGCTATGCATTTATGAGCAATGCATCTTCCCTGCCATGTTTAGCCAGTCTATCCGTATTGAAATACTGACAGTGAGTCTGCAATGAATTCGATGCAGATCCCCTAATGGTCGTCTAATCGACTTACAGCCGTATTCATACATTGACTGCCTCTTGCTTTAGAATAGATGATGGTTAAACATTTCTTGCGCTTTCCTATTGGAAATTGACTGCTTATTGAATAAACAAGGCTCATCATATGATACACAAACTATAGTTTGGGTTGAAATAGACTTCGTTTGGCACAGCCATACACTTGTACGATCACCAGATTCACGCATTGTAACCCAGATATTGCGTTCGATTTCCAATGTTGCCAATACAATTGTGTCCAAGCTCATGTATTCTAATATTTATACGTTTACGATCTAGTTCAAGAAAACAATCTCGGAAATTCAACTGTTGTTTTTATGCCGATCGCCAGGATAAAAGTCAATCAACTTTGTCAAAGTTGATGGCAATGTTGCTCAGTAAGATTGGTACCAATCATGTCATAAGACTGCTTATTATTCACCGACACTCTTGTTTAATGGTTTACTTCAAGTGAACACGACTGTAATAAATGACTCTGGATCTATGCATGAATGGTTTTCTGTTAACCAGCTGCATCGCTGAATAAATATGTAAAGCGGAATGTTTGGACATCCATAAACTCGCTTGTATTTGAATCAACATTGCAGCTGTAGGGCGATATTCAAACAACATTCTACATTACTAGATAGATGAAGCCATCAATTCATCATCGTCCATACTTGAGCACATTGAGCCGTACAGGCTTACTGCACAATAGTCAACAGCAACCCGGTTCGGATAGTATAAGCCTTAATATATTTTTGTTATTGAAACAGAGAGAACTTGTACCTGATAGAGCTGGCTCACTTTGTCCATTACCGCTTGTATGGGCTGCTCGTCAGTATGCCAATATACAAGTCTCTGAAAACAAAACCATTGGATCTCACACTGCTGGAAACGGATGCACTTGGCTTGATATTGCTCAGAGCAATGATCGATTGTATGACTACCAATAATCATTTGTTCAAATACTCTGGTTTGGGAAAATCATCTAACTCTAGAATGTTGTTGTATGGCATCCTTGTTTGGTAATAGTTTGCTGGCAGCTAGAACCGATCTGTCCATTTCTATATATGACTTGGATGATCACATACAGCATTTTAATGGCATGAATACAACCCGTCGAGTAGCAACAATATCAAGGTGATATACTCTTGCAAGATCTATTCAATATATTATAGACCAATGTGTTATTGATAAAATTACTTGTTAGTGGACTGGGTCATTCCGCAAAGATCACTGGTGTCTATTGGTTCCCACTTGATCCTGGACTGTTTACTACAAGTTCGTTTGATCGCTGTATCAAAGTGTGGGACTCGGCTACTCTAGAAGTAATCAGTCCTTGTCTTGGCTAAACTAGCAATGTTTGATATTCTAGCTTAATGATTTTAGGCCGCGTTTACCTTTAGGTTGGACGACTCGGTGTATACTCATGTCATGTCCCCGATTGCTTCAACCCATGCGTTGATTGCAGGTTTGGTAAACTTGGATGCAGTAGTTGCATCTATATTGTAATGATTAGCTTGTTTTGAACCGATTCATTTTATTATAGCTGGAACAAAGGCTTCGCATATTCGACTATGCGATTTAAAAAGTGGTGCATTGACACATTCATTGGCTGGACATAAAGGGCCGGCAGTATCACTTCAGTGGTCACCAGTGCACGAGTTTCTTCTTGCCTCTGGAAGGTAGTAATATCTATTTTAAATATGATCCGTTTTGTAGCATCTTGAAAATGGCACTGTCGAGTTTAACAGTTGTATTCTATTATATGTTTAGTGTCGATGGCACAATAAAGTTTTGGGATATTCGCAAGGGAAATGCGTGCATATGGTCAACCTATCACAGTGAAAATATGCACTACTCAAAAACTAGTCCATGTATGTATTACTCTTGGAGTTTACTTTTTTGCTCCGTGCCATTCTATTAAACGATCATGATTCAAAATAGATTCTCAACATCCACGTGTCAACGGTCTAATATTTACTTCGGATGGTCAATCTCTTGTCAGTACCTCTCACGATGAACGCATTCATCTTTGGAATGTCATGGCAGGTACACGTCGCGAGGTCTACTATGGTCCACATTTTCATAATCGTACTCCTGCAACATTGAAAATGGCCATCACACCTTTAGACTCTACTTTACGTCCACTATTGATTTATCCATCCGACACACACCATATACTAATGTATGACTTGTGGACAGGCGAGTTGGTAAAGCGACTATCAGCACATTTGGGACGAGTTGGGTGTATTGCTATTCGACCAGAAACCCAGCAATTTGTTTCTGGTGGGGTGAGTGATCCAATTCTTTTATGGGAGCCTAAAAATTCAACTGAGCAGAACAAAACAAACCAAAATCAGTTTGGTAATGGCGAGCTTGATCCAATGGATGATGCATGGAGTGACGCAGAATCTGGATAGGCTATTGGTTTTGCGTGGGATTCTGTTGAATCAGAGTTTAACTCGTAACAAAATAGCCAGTTTAACAAATATATATTTTTAGCAGTATTATGCAATCTGTTATTTGAAAAATGAAACATTGTGTATATATCAGGCTAAATAAGATAGGGTAAGCATGCTTCAATTATAGGTATGCATTTTAGAATACAAAGATTTAAACCAGATAAACCACAATATTTCCATTGCTTAATATTTTCAATTTTGATAAACCAAATCATACAAAAGTTGAATGACTTGTTTTTTGAACTAGAACGCGAATGTATTCGAGATTCGGAATACAGCAAAAATGAGTCTTTGTACAGTACTATTGGCAATATCAGAACAATCAGCCTCAATATCAGACTCCAAACTTGGTGGTTGTACATATATGACTATACCAAATGAAAACTAGAGTATTTAGGTTAAAACTATGGTTTGATTGTGTATCATATGATGAACGTTGTGATTATTGAAGAATCGAGAGTGTTTATTGAACAAACAGTGCAGTCAATCTGTGACAGAAAGCGCGACGAATGTTTAAATACTGTTTATTTTAAAAACAAGTGATTGCAATATAAATACAAGTGTCAATTTTACGCGAATACAGGTGTAGTAGGATCTCGTGTATATATACATCATGATACATTTTAACATTCAGTTATTAGACTTGACTGAATGCAAAATAAATCAAAAATAGTAAACAAAAGCTCATCTGCATGATTAAATTTGTGTGATAAAGATGCTACCAATAATCACCAGATAGGCAGACTTATAAAGCCAAAAAGTAGAAACTGCCAAAAAATCAACTCTTGTCAAGATTAATTTCATCCATGGATCCAAGTGTTTTGCTCTTGGTTGACTTTTCTTTAAAAGCTGGAGTGTGTTTTAACTGATTCTTTGGCAGTGACTTCTTTTTAGCTGATACTTTTTTCTTCTCGGCAGACTCTAAAACACCATTTGATGCCGTTGCCATGGAATCTGTAAAATTAGCATTCTGGTTACGTCTTGTTGCTGGATTTTGAATAACAGCACGTAATAGTTCCATTGAGATAAAGCTGCACTCGCCATATATATGGAGTGAAAGGTCGCCTAACAGTGAAATACCAGGTCTGGAGTGGCCTGTAACCGTCATAGTAATGATTGCACCTCCAGATAAGATTACAAAGCACGAAACTGCCAGTAAGACAAATTGAATACGAAATGTGGCAGTAGTATCACGCAGTCGATACAATACAAAATAGACCAAAAAGGTTTGCTGCATGAGATCGTAGATACCAAGAGCGGATGGCCAAATGATTTGCACCCATCGCAACGAATAAAAAGCTCCTGGAAAAAACGGGTAGAATGCTGTGATTAAATAGATTTGACTAACTGCAACCACACCTATTTGTACATAGGTCACAGCTTTTGGAGTAACGTATCCAAAAAAAGGTGTAAGAATTTTTAAAAATTCCAGTTGAGCGACAATAAAGCAAATCGTTTCGATGCCACGAAGAACATTTGACATGGAAGTTCCGACTGGTCCTTGCATTTCTAAAATATATTCCCAGCATGCATCAATTATAGCATTGATAATGACTAGTAATCCGGCAGATCGAAGACAGTTTCCATAAAGTAATGAGGGGAGTTTACGTACTCTGTAGAAAAGAACAAGGACAACAATTTCAATCATAACAACCAACGATATCGATGCATAGTTGATAGGATCGTATGTCATGAGTAATATCAAAATTGTTTTTCAATTAAATAAGAGTTTGCTAATCTGATGAGAATATTAGTAAACTGAAATAAGTATAGCCAAGGTTGGCAAGGAAAGTTTAAAATCAAAAAGTTTTGATGAAAGTTTTGTAAAGCTAAATTAAATTGAGTTACAAATACTTGCAGCTCTGTATTCGCGTAAAATTGACACTTGTATTTATATTGCAATCACTTGTTTTTAAAATAAACAGTATTTAAACATTCGTCGCGCTTTCTGTCACAGATTGACTGCACTGTTTGTTCAATAAACACTCTCGATTCTTCAATAATCACAACGTTCATCATATGATACACAATCAAACCATAGTTTTAACCTAATACTTTAGTTTTCATTTGGTATAGTCATATATGTACAACCACCAAGTTTGGAGTCTGATATTGAGGCTGATTGTTCTGATATTGCCAATAGTACTGTACAAAGACTCATTTTTGCTGTATTCCGAATCTCGAATACATTCGCGTTCTAGTTCAAAAAACAATGGTCGCACGTATCAGAAATGCAACTGTTGTTTGTATGCCAATCACCATGACAAGGACAGTTGAATATGAAAGAGTTCATGACGTAACGCTGGTCAATAAATTATATAGCCATTATTTCAAGAAATTGGTTGTTTATAATGTATGTTGGCATGTTTATCCAGTGTTCCATTTGACATGAATATGACTAAAAATAAACTATATAGCCCATTGAGATTTTAAACCTTGCATTTCAAACAAAATAATGCGCACCAATCAATGTATACACCAATTCTCATATTATACAAACTAAATATTAGGTATTAGAGTAACCAAGTATGACGCAAATTTCAAAACGTAATTACATATATTTCAACATAAAGGCTGGTAATGTTTATAGATTTGAATAACGAATAAAATAGTTTCAACATTGAAATTTAAAATGCTAGTCACTAATTGTAAAAGTACAATGATTAACTCCATATGGATTGATCTTTGTGATTTTCCGTTAGCCAGCAATCTGACTGCCCTTGATTACAAATTCTTGCTGTGCGTAGTTCATTTAAAACTGGTCGTGTAGTAGCTGATGTGAATCTCAACAAAAGTCTGGTTTGTTTCAACTTGTTACGGCTTTCTGAGGTTTCTGGAGTTTTTGAGATTTTTGAGATTTTTGCGATGACTGAGGATCCAACACAGTATTTAAATACTGATTTTTGGGACGTTTTGCAATAGAATCTTGAAGAGCAATACGTAATATCTCCATTGATGCAACACTACATTCGCCATAAAGATGCATTGTCAAGCCTCCTAATAATGAAATGCTCGGACCCATTTGATATCCAATGCAAAGCTCAATATATGCGCCTCCAATCATAATCACCAAGCCAGTAAATGCCAGTATCACAAACTGCAAACGAAATATCTTTGTAGTGCTGCGTAATTTGTATAATACAAAGTAAATCAAAAAAACTTGCTGAAACAAGTCGTATAAACCAAATACTGCAGGCCATATAATCTGCACTGTGCGAAGATAATGCATAGTGGGAGGGTATAGAGGGTAGAAAGCACTAAACACATAGATTTGGCTGATAACAACGATGCAGATCTGAGCACGCAAAACAAGCTCATGGGTAATAGACTTGAAAAACGTTGTGAATATTTTGAGAAACTCGAGCTGAGCAACAATAAATAAAAGAGCTTCTATACTCATGAGGAAATTTGATATGCTAGTCCCAATAGGCCCTCTAAACTCGTAGATGTATTCCCAACAAGAGATTATGATGACGTTTGCAATAAGACATGCTCCGGAATACCGTAGGCAGTTCGCGTACAAGCGCGACGGAAGCTTGCTCAAGCGATAAAGAATGACAAATCCAAATATGACTAATAGCGCAGATATCATGAGCACAAAATAATCAGGTGGCTGCAGAGTCATGATGTCGAAATGTAATGACTATACTGTTTGATATGAAAACTACCACTTCAAATCAGTTATCATAAGGAGATGGCTATGATGCAATAGATTCCTACAAAATTGCTAGTTCTATAGAAGTATAAAATCAAGTATTTATAAAATCTAAATAAATAAAGCCAAATTGGTAATCATGTGTAAGCAAATGACGGTTAGCTTTTAACCAATAAGATAAATATTTGTGCAAGTTTTTGAACAATATTGTAGCATGTCAAATATTTGACGATTTTCAATGGCTTCCAAGCTTTGCAAAGCGTCAAGTGAACAATGTCATAATGCAAGTATTTCATAGCTTCAGTAAAATTTAAAAAAATGACAAACAATACAGATTGAAGCAGACCCTGAATAGATTATATTCAAAATAGCTACTATAGTACTCATTTTCCCCATCCCAACTTTGACATCTACTATGAAGCTAGACCGTGTTTGGAACATATGCGCTTTATTCAAAACAAAAATGCAGTACCTGATACAGATTCGGTCTGATAGGTCACATGGTTTTAGAGATTGAATGACTCAACACTGCATATTTAAAGCTAAAACTCGGCATTCCTCATAATAGTATTGTGCACTAGCAATTTTCATATAAATCCAACAAAAAGATACCTCTTGTTCATGCATGATTGCCAGAAACGTTTGCACCAACAGCAACTTCCTTTTCCACCAGTGCAAATATATCAAAGCACAGGGCAGTAGGCATCTTGACTTCTTTTAGGAAACCTGCAAACTTGGGCATATCACGATTACCGGATTCGGTACTTGATTGAGTACGCGCCATATAGATGACCGTCTTACAGCAGGAGTGCAAAAGTTCACGATGCTTTTCAATTTCTTGTTTCACAGCACTGGGTTTAGTCTTGGAAGTAAGTGTTGCACGAAGAGCATCGACAGCAGTGTCTAACGTAACAGAAAGAGCCATACTATTCACTGTGGCAAGACGTTGTAGCATCAAGTGCGAGATGATTTTGATCTCATGTGCTGGATCTGCAATACCTGCAATAGCGCGTTCAATAAAGGCATGAATTTCAATACTGGAAATACAAGAATCTAGCAGTGTGTACATGCACTCAAATGCTGCTTTGCGGGTATCCAGACCAGTATCAACCTTGTGCTTAAACGGCCCCATTTCTACAACATGAATGTACGCCTCCTATTTATCCAGATACAGTCAAGAGTAAAATTTGCAATAAATATCAAATATGCTAAATAGTCACAAAAGTAGCTACAGTAATGCAAATCAAATGGCATACATTCACAAGTGTCTCTTTGTACAGCAGGGGAAGAAGCTCTCCAAGGGACTGGCAAATCAGTTGTGGCTTGGAATGAGCAACGGCATTCAAAGCACCAATAGTAACCCGACGAACATTCAAATCCTCGTCCTGTATAAGTCGTAAAATATCCAGCACCAGGGGTTCAAGCAAAGAAATATAGGCATCAGATCCACCATGTTTTCGAACAGAAAACGTGTACCTCACTGCACTCACAACTGTGACTCGAGTAGTAGGTTTGGAAGAAGATAGCTGCGATTGCAACTGAGGAAGAAAGGACTGTGCATCAGATGTAGAAATCAACCCCAAACACTCTGAAACGACATTGCAAGTACTGTCTTCCAGGTCAGTATCTGTTTTTTCAAACAAAATCTTCCAAATGCCAGGAAAATAGGCAGACATGGCGGTTTGAGTAGATTCAGTACAAAGAGAAACCTCAATAACCTCTTTCAAAGCTAAGAGGGAAAGATACTGATGAACAGTCGCCCCACGAACCGCTTCAACAATCAATGGAAGATAAAGTGGCATATTTCCAATAGCAATATGACCGAGGGAAAACGCTGCCGCGTTTTTGATTTCCTCTGATGGCGAGTCAAACAAATTAAACAGCGTAGTATGAAGCGTGGGTGCTGTCTGGAAAAGATCGTGGTAATGTCCAATCTCTCCTATACTAAGCAAAGCTAAATACTTTGCGTTGGGCTCTCCTGGAGTTGCAATAACGTCTGTAATAAACTTGTCAAGCAGTGGCGACACTTGTAATTTTTTGTTTGTAGTGAGTGCTGCAATTGACTTGGATACTACTGGATATGCCTAAAATCCAGTTGTAAATCATATTAATTCAAGTCCAGTAAAACAGAGTGCAGATTTACAATATATAGCAAATTTACCTCTTTACGACACTGGACCTTGGACAAGAGTTCCTGGATACATTCGGCAGAATATGCGTCGTTTTCGGCAGAAGCCAATATCCTCCAAAAATCAACAAGTAGATCCAGACTAGCACCTCCTGACACTAGATGCGGCATATCGCATACAATGGTAATAATAACGTGGACAATTTTGGATTGAATCAGTTGAACCGTTGAAGATGTGTTGCCTTTTTGCATCATAGAAATTAGCAAAGAAAGTGAGATGGGAAGGATCTGAAGATCAGACTCGGCGGTAAGCATATCATAGAGTAAATCCAAAATATCAGGGTACATGGATTGGCAATTGAATTTGCGTACAAGAGTTTCTACTGCGACCACCGAAGCAATGCGAAGTTGTCGATGGGTTTTACGCATATTGGCAGATATTTCAGAAACAATAACTGCCAAATGTGGGTTAAAGGCAGACAATGTTTGTAAAGGTGGATTGGCAAAAGGAGATTCTGCCATGTAGGTAATACAGCGAATAGTCATGAGTCGGGTCACTTCGTTTTTAAGACGATCGACAAGAATAGGAACTACTTTATCAGATAGATCCACTGGGGGTATCAAGTCGCAGGCTTGATGTACTAATACGCCCAAGGTACCAATAGCAGCTTCCTTGACTTCTACGCTCGTGTCGGTAGCTTTCACACACTCTAAAGTAAAGTTGAATATAGAGTTGATAAATGGCACACAAATGGCTGGTGGTTCAGCGGGAGTGATGGCATGAGCAGATTTGTTTGTTAAACCAACAACCTGCTTAGTAGAATTCGTGTCTGCTTGTCCAGTTACTACATTACAAAAAGGTCTCAATGTTTTAATAAGCACCGACATGACAGAAAATGCTCCTGCACGAATTTTGTAAAAATGATCGTTTCCGGCAGCTAGCACAGATGGAACCAGATGATTCATATAGGGATGAAATAGTTCAGGCGAATGGTTTTCAAGAAACACTTTAAGAAATTCAAGAACCTCGATTTTGAGGTTGGTGTTGGTAGTCGACCCATATGTTCCGCCTATCGCACCAGGAGTTTTGATAAACGGGTATTCAATGGCAGGGACAATTAAAGCAATACTGTCATCTAATCCACCACTCAAAACAAGCACGAGTTGTTTCAAAAGTTGAAATCCAGATAATCTGGTAGGGATAGATTTGCCAACCAGCTGTTTGGACAGCACCTTGACAATGCGAGGAACCAGAGCATTCAACTGTAAAGCAATTTGACTGTCTACAGAACCAACCATTTTTAATGGGCTCGTAGTAACGACGGTATCACTTTTCTGATGCTTTGCAACAATAGATTGCTGCAGTAGAGTCAAAAACGTATTGAACACGTCAATGCGGACGCTCTCTTCTCGTTCGGTGAAGCGACGAATTAGAGTTGGGCCAATCTGTGCATATAGCTCAGATAAGAATTCTGAATGTGTACCAATCAATGAAGAAAGAAGTTTTGCAGAGGCACGACGAACTTTCCATGATACATCATCATCATCAGAGTAATCATGATCTTCGTCATCCTCTTCATCTTCGTCCTCATCTTGATCTTCACTATCATCTGCATCGTCTTCATTGTAATTGGGGTCATATTTGACGTATTCTAATCCTAGTTGGATAATAGTAGGGATGTACGTCTTGATAGCAGCAGGGTTGCGTAAAATGAATGAATCGATGGTTTGAATGCACTGTTCACGCAAATCATTATCGTCCAGATTCACATAATTTAGTACTAGTGGAAAAACCTCGTGCAGATACGGTGCAAATCGGAATGAACACGAGCGACCAATGGCGGATGTGCATGCAATAAGTGATTGCAACTTTTGTAGATTTGCAGGAAATTTTTGGCAGCTTTCACCCTTGACAATTATATCACTGATGATTTTTTTAACAAGTTCAGCAAACAGATTATCCTGAATGTGAGGTACAAGAGATTCAATAGCAGTGATGGATCGTTTTCGAACAGCAGATCGAGCATTATCTAACAAAGGATAAAGAGTCTGGATAGAGTTTTGCTGTAGCTGCTTTGCCATGTCATCTGCAGGGGTAGACAAAAACTGACCCAAACGAGAAAAAATATCAGACAAGATATCAATGACATCCAATTGAGATTGATCCGACGATGATGTAGTAGACGTAGTAGTGCGATGCAACTGTTCCAACAGATTAGGTAAAAGTCGACGAGTAAGACTGCCCGTGAATGCAGCATCTAATGGAATTTCTACTACGACTGTTTTGAGTGCAATGCCAGCAATGTCCCGCAGTCCATCACGATCAGCAACTGTAGTGGTGAACATTTTACATAATTCATCCATGATGGTCCGGATTTGAGTTTCTTTAGCTTTACGAACAAGTGGAATCAAACTAAAAAACAACAGTTTAGCATTATTTCAAGATATTATTCGTGCAATGAGTTTCAATGATATGCTAGAGTGCATATTTATTTTGAATAGATTTGATCAAGACATTGAATTATGGAATGAATTATGGAATGAACTGTAATAGAATGAGCAAGAATAGATAAACAACAATACCATTTTGCAGCCATGTTCTGAACCTCGCCATTCTTATCGTCAATAAGTTTCAAAACAGCAGCAACCAACTTGCGTTCTGATCCATCATCAAGAATAAACTGATCCCCAGCAACCACAGTAGCCAGGTCATTGGCGGCCATAAAGCGGAAATCGCTGTCACTGGAAGCCATCTATAAAGCAATGTCATACATGAATATCAGTGATGAGTTATCAATGAATCATTTAAATGGTTTTATAGATATTGAATGTATTCCATGTTGTCATTGACTTCAACACCAAAAGAACAGACTTGTTGCAAGTCAACACCAGCATGAACATCATTCACAGCAGATCTGACCTTTTCCAAAAACTGTGACACTATATGTGCTGGACTGGAGTTGCTCATAATGAAAGAGTTTTAATAACTTGCTGGAATAATCGGTAAACTAAATCTAATCCCAAGTTTTATTATCTAATCGTTGCTTTCACAGCTTGAAAATCAACTTTTTCTAATCATGAGCGTACTGTTGGCTGACGAGCGTATGCCTACCGGCGGAAGTTGTTTAAGCAACATTCCACCACTTCGCATTCCTACAATGGGCGATAATGCGTTGTTGGTGTTGCGCTTTATCGCTCCTTTTTGACTACGTCGTTCAGTGTTTTTAAGAGCATTATAATAAGGCAACGAATCAGGATCTTCCTGTGACATACGTTCCAGTTGCAATCGATCAAACTTTTCTCCAATATCAAGAGCATCCTTAAAGTTGAAGTTGTAAGTAAATTTGCAAGTTTCATATCAAATTATTCAATTATTACCTCGACTCCGCCATTTCCATTTTCTGTAATCTGCGCGCCATATATCGACTCATACCATTGCTCAAATTCTGTCATGAGTTTTTGTCGACTTTGATCTGTCATTCTAGTACAGTATTCTACTTCTGTGCGAGTAACTCGAAGACTGTCAAATTTCTCCTTGTATTGCTCTTTGAATCGCTTCAAAGTATTCGTCAGAGTATATTCATCTTCGTCAATGATAATATCCTCTCCTGTATACATTCACAACTCAATTTTAAGCATGGATCCTCAGAATAATTCAAAACTTGCAATGTATGATTTAAAATCATGTTACCATCTCTAACATGAGCATCTTTCTTTTGTTCTAGATGTTCTTTGATTTCATCTATTTTACGCTTGATTTGGTTTGCAGATTCGGCCAGCTCCTTTGCCATACGCCGTTTCTCCTTGAGTGCAAGCTTGTTGTCTGTCAAAATATGATTCATCTCTAATCCTCGTCCACGCTTAAATGATTCAAATTCATCAGCTCGTGAAAGTGGAGTGCTACCATATCTACGATCACGAACAATACCCCCGCTATCGGTAACAACACTTCCAACTCCTATATTGGCTCCTTGACCAGATTCAAAATTAATGATACTCTCATCTTGCCGTGGATTGCACTCTACATCTTCCGATATTGGCTAATCATATCTCTATAATTAGTACAAGGCTTTACCCGGTGCTGCAAAATTATGCCATATTGTTTTATATTTAATATTGGCAATATATACTTTTACTTACAAGCACATCTTGAGCTATTTCGTCTGTATCACGATTTCCCACTGACAGCATTGTTGCTTTACGATCGCGCTTGGCTGTTACTGTGCCTGCTAGACGAGATTGAGGGTTTAGTGGCTGGCCACTTCTAAGCAGTGCGGCGCTACCAGAACCAGGTAGATGCTTTGTACCCGATGGTGCTAAACCAATACCAAATCCAGAACTCTCTATCTCACCGACGCCATCGTCACGATCTGGCTCATACACACCCTGTTTTCGTCCCTGACATTCAGTTTTGTTGATTAAAAATTAAAATCTTTTAGTTTAAAAATTGTTTTGATTCATGTAAATTATAATGATCAAACTTACTGCTCCTCCACCAACATCCGAGTGTTGTTCTCCAGCCGGATCACGAACATTTGTCACATTGAATGTAGTCTGTTTATGAGTACGCTGTACTGCATCGTCCATTTCTGCCTCCATATTTCTATACATTAGTCTGAAAATTGAAAGTATTTCTCTAATTTGTCTTAAATTAACAATCTATAGAAATACAGTCTTGATTAAAACCACATTTTTTCATAACTATGGTCTGAAAACAACGCCATTAAAGCCAATTGTATAAACTAACCTCGATCTCATCTGCTTCATTATCTATATATGCCTTGACAAGTTTACTCAGTTCGTGTCGCTGGGCTTCGCTAAATGGTTCATACTGCACATGGCTTCTGTTGCATAGAGTATCATGCATAGATAGCTCTTGTTTAAGTTCCTTGACTTCACGCTCGTATTTTTTAATTAAAGCTTGCGGGTCGTAATGGACGTTGATTTCAGGAGTGGTGGATACGCACATCATTCTTGTAGCAAATCGCAATGTAGATATTGTTTCTTCAATGTGTTCCTTTTCTCCTGTACATTTATATAATAAACAGTGAGTTGAAATCCATCTAGTGTTGCTTTTGGCACAAAAGTGAGTATGCATACTTGTACAAAAACAAATGATGCTTACCCCAAATATTGGCAATCATGAGAGTGTTGCAGTTTCCACCAAGCGAGTCCCTCAACACGTGTGTCATTTTTGATTGTCTAAATGGAATATGATCTCGTTTTCTATCTGCCAGAGCAATGATGACTTGCTCAAGATACGTCAAAGATCGATTAATATCTAAACACGGTAAGTATTACAAATCCAGCATAGTAAGACACGAGTTAGTTTCTTTTACTTGTGATGACCAAATCAACTTTGAATTTACATGTTGCTTCCTTGAGCGATTTCCCCTTGGTTTCAGTTTTCGATAACCGCTCTGAACCAGCAAGATCAACCAAGTTGAGCTTGGAAGTGATAATTTTTTCAGATGATTCAATATTTGACCTTGACTCGATATACAGCGTAAAAATGCAATGAGATCTGGTAGAGCATTTGTTGAGTTGATGTTCGGATCTGGATCGGTTTGTTTCACCCTCAAACAGCAAGTTAAGTGCCTCCTCTTCATTGTTTGCATTTTGGATATTAAGACCTTTGACGTATGTTGACCCTAATTAGACACGTATATGTGAATGCATGTTAAGCTGGTAGACTAGGTTCAATTTATTTTTATGCAAAGCAATCTGCACTTGACAACTTACCACTTTTTTCTTCAACAACAGCCAAACTTTCGTTGTTGAGATTGCCAGATATAGATGCAAGCAAATCAATCATTTGTTCATTGTACACTTCGAGGTAAGAGATGCGTATATTGAATGAAAAGTTTGGACGTTGTGCAATCTCATGAAACACATGCGAAATTGCCCGTGGAATCAATCCTCTGTGCTTATAATTTTCAGAAGCACCAGTCCTACAAAAAGTTATTTGGAAAATGGGTCAAGATTTTGAAGTGTTTATGGATCCTATTCAAAAGAGTATTGGTTTACATTGTAAAAGTCTTTCCGGCACCTGTTTGACCGTATGCCATGATGGTCGCTGTGATGGGGAAAGATGGGAGTTGCAAGTTTAAATACACTCTTGAAATTGATTACATGACCAAAACTATACGAATATAAACACGCACCGTTATAGCCATCTAAAAGAGATTTGATGATGGGACCACCACAGTGGTCGTAAACCGCCTCCTGCGAAGCATTGTGCATGATATTATCAAACTTGAAGTCCCAATTCTCCTGCTGGTTGTTGATAAACCCCCATTCTTCGTTTTTAGGAATGTGTATATGCAGACTCTTGAAATTGAAGCACAAGATACGAATTAGTAGACTAAATTTGGAAAATACAGCACATATAGCTAGTATTTATACGAGGCATGAGTCGACAACTGCCCTACCAGTTTGTCATCGCCAAAGTTGATTATATCTTGAGCAAACGAAGAGGTTGGTCTAGTTCGTATGACGACCTTGACGTGTTTAGACTTTGAAGCCATGTGTTGTATCTACCAAGTCAAATGAAATTACTTTAAAAGCGAGGCTGTAACCGTTTAGGACGCAAGTAGATAAAGCAACGCCCCGTTTGGTTTGAAGGAAGCGAAAGTAACCCTAAATTTGTTTTCCATTTTACGTGAATACGGCTGTAACTATTGGTGACCAACTCGAGGACTATATATAATTTAATCGCAACATCACATTCGTATTATGGGCAAGGGAAAGAGAGCTGCAGTCATTCACTGCTCGCAGCCACCATTATCTACTACTGATGTGCTGTCTAAGCCAACCACTTCAACTGACTCGGTGTTTTTGGACGGTCCATCACTCTACAACTGTGATGCTGCTACTCTACTGCCTGATGAAGAGCAACTGCTCGAGTCTGCTCCTTTGATGACACTGGTCACTACATACATCTCTTATTTTATCCTGATTGTCTTTGGTCATATCCAGGACTTGTTGGGTTCCATTTTAGACCCAGAATCCTTCCGTCATCTGCGTACTCAAAACGGATATGCTCCCATCAGCTCTGGTTTCGATACTTTTTATCATCGTAGGCTATATGTTCGTATTAGAGACTGTTTCAACCGTCCTATCACCAATGTGCCTGGTGGTACAGTGCATTTGCTGGAGCGCACTTCGCTCGACTACAACAAGACCTTCCAGTTGAGTTTTTTAGAATGGCTTGTGCCTTTTGGTTGGTTCATCTAATGGAATGCTTGTCATTATCCATAACTGTATGGTTGACTCGGCCGAGGCTTTGAATTATAAACAGTAGGCTGTTTAGATACAATAGCTTAAAGCTGTATTCACGTAAATGGAGCATTTGTATTATCTTGCGGTGATTGCTTCGGAATAAGCAATGATCAAACATCCGATGTGCTTTTCTGGTAGAAATTACTGTTTCTTCAGTTGATATTCATCCTTGTTTCAAGCACGTTCATCATATGATGCACACATGATCAAACCATGGTTTGAACCTGTCCTTTCTCCGCTTCCGGCATAGCCATACATTTTAGGATCTTCAGACTATCCACTGTAGTCCAGATATTGAGTTTGTTGATGTTGTCAATTACAACTCTCTTCAAACCCCTGTATCCTGAAATCTCATGCTTTAGTTCAAGAAAACAAATGCATTTTGGCATTCTATTTTACACGAATACGACTGTAATGATTTGGTATTACTCGTGTACTTTTGGTTCTGATATTCCATGATTCATCGTCTCGATAATCTGGTATTTTTACCTATTGCCATATCAATCCTTTTTCAAACCATAAAGTGTAGCTTCATGACACTAGTGAATCCCTGTTCAAGTCCTGTTTTTAACCCAATTTCTATACTACACACATAGATTCACTGGTAAAACTCGCGAAGTACTCAACTTGTCATCTTACAACTACCTTGGATTTGCGCAGAATGAAGGTCCTTGTGCTGATGCTGTTCAAACAGCCATCAAAAAGAATGGTTTGATCTCTTGCTCACCCCGTCTGGAGGCTGGATCTGTTGAGCTGCACAGTCAAGTCGAACGTATGGTTGCCAAGTTTCTTGGACAAGAAGATGCCATTCTTTTTTCCATGGGATTTGCCACAAACTCAACCTCGTTGCCTAGTCTTGTCGGGAAAGGCGATCTTGTCATCTCTGATGAGTTTAACCACTCGTCGCTTGTCTTTGGTGTACGTCTTTCAGGTGCCAGTGTCAAGGTCTTCAAACACAACGACCCTATAGATTTGGAAGCTGTTTTGAGAGATGCTATCGCACAGGGTCAATCCCGCACTCACCGCCCATGGAAGAAAATTATTGTTATTATCGAGGGGTTATATTCCATGGAGGGCAATATCTGTAATCTTCCGGCCATTGTTGATCTAAAGCACAAATACAAGTTTTATCTGTACATGGACGAGGCACATTCTATTGGCGCATTGGGTCCCAACGGACGTGGTGTTTGTGATTATTATGGAATTGATCCGCTTGAGATTGATGTTTGCATGGGCACATTCACTAAATCTTTTGGTGCTGCGGGTGGCTACATTGCTGGAAAAAAAGAAATTGTAGATCATCTTCGTCTCACGTCTCACTCTGCTGTGTATGCAGAAGCTATGCCTATCCCTATTTTACAGCAAGTGTATACTTCTATGCGCATCATTATGGGCGAGATTTGTGGTGATGAAGGGAGACATCGTATTCAAACCCTTGCTCGAAATTCTCGGTTCTTTGCCTCGGAGCTTCGCAAAATGGGCTTTATTGTTTATGGCCGCGATTCACCTGTTATTCCTCTGCTGTTGTTTCATCCTGCAAAAATTCCTGCTTTTTCACGTGAGATGCTGAAACGAGGAATTGCGGTCGTGGTCGTGGGATACCCTGCTACACCCATCATCACTTCTCGAGTTAGATTCTGTATTAGTGCTGCTCATAGTTTGGCTGATTTGGAATGGGCGCTTGAACAGATTTCTGAAGTTGGAGATATTCTAGGACTGAAACTTCGTGTAGGTGCATAATGTGTTTGCAAGCATCCACTCTTCTATTTTTACAGGGAATCACTACTATATATTCCCAGCTTTAGAATGGTAAACAGAATCGAGGTTTGGGTGATGTCTATTGACAGGGATTTTGGTTATATTCAAAAAAGGTTTTTACAATCAATACAATTTAATCAAACATAGTAACGAAATTTTGTAGTGTTGAATAAGTTGATAATTGTTTGATATCAGCATTATTCATAGAACATCAAATAGTCAGAATACACAAACAGCCATGTTGGATCGGTGCCAATCTTATTCAACATTGCTTTAGGAACTCAGTTTACTGATCTTGATGCTCATTCTTGAACAAAGAAGCAAAATAGTCTACAAGATAAATATAAAAGTTGTGTTACGTGAATATGGCTGTAAATCTTCAGCATGCCCATGGATTTTATTTCAAAAAACATCAAGCCTGTTTCTTAAAATAAGATGAAAGAGTATAATGACCAATCCAACATCTAGTAAAGGCTTACTACAATATTAGCGTTATTTTTTTCCACCCTTGAACGATGCTGGTCTAGTTTTTTTGGACACGCCTCCTTTTTTACCACCAGAAAACTTCTTGCTACCAGGCTTCATCTTGCGCAGCGTAGATTCATTAAAATCTTCTAGACTCTCTGAACTGTTACGCTTGGCATTTCGTTTGGGACCACCAAACCCAAACTTTTTGTTTTTAAAATCACGCTTGCCTGCTCTGTTTTTATCGCCATCATGTTTACTAGGTCGATCAATTTCAATGCCAAAATCATTGTCTGCACCAGCGTCAGTTCCAGCACGATGACCGCTAGAATGGCGTTTAGTGGAATGGTCTTTCTTGTCATCATCAAGGTCGGTCAACATGCCTCTTTTTTTGGCAATTTTGATCTTTTCCAATGCATTCTTTTTGATGCCATCACGCTCCATCTGCTTTTCGTGCTGAACCTTCTTTCCAAACTTTTTCAAATCACGCTGCTTCTTTGCTCGTTCAGATGCCTTGATACCCTCCGCCTCTTCCACTAGACGTTGGCGAACACGATACATGTGCTGATCACTTTTGACCATCTCGGCGAAATAGTCTGAAGGACGAGAAAAGGGGATCTTGTACTGACTGCAAAGATCGCGAGCTGCTTTGGCTGCTTCAAGAGATTGTTTGTAAATTGCCAATTCTCGTTCTAGATCGTTGTTGACATCGGGAACATCATCGCTTGTTGCAGTCTGGGATGTAATGGTTTGAGTTTCATGCCATGAAAGACAAGAACCGTGCTTAATATCATCGAGTCTAGCCAATAATGCTTCCTATAAATAGTAGCAAGTGAATTTAAAAAAAGTACACATATGGGGTATTCAGACAGGCCATTGGATCGCAACAATATACTCATTAGTGATGTTGATATGCATAGCAACAAGTTTGAATTTAAAAAGCAATCATATATTTAATAAACAGACCTACCTTTTTGTTGGCATACACCTTTTCAACAAGTGGTTCAGCATCCAATGGTGAAGGCTCAGGTTTCTGATGCTGCATCATTTCCAAATAAATCTCCATCTCACGTTCATCCTCCGAGTTCATTTCAATCCTTGTTTCCTCTGTTTCGTCATCATCCATGATATCATCAGTGGTTGGTTTGTCGTCTGACTCGGTACGATCTTTATTACTCGACTTTTCAGTCATGTCATTTTTTTTAACAGAAGCCTTTTTTGCACTAGCCAATTGAGCAGTCTGCTTTCGTTTCTTTCCAGAACCAGAACCAGAACCAGAAAGTGTATTAGGTACATTATCATCTTGCATCATCTGTGCAACGTCATCATCCATTTCAATCGCTTGAGACTCGATAAACGAACCAATATCAAACTCGGCATTGGATGGAATGAGTTCGGGTGCCGGTTTTGATGCTGGCCCACCAGTTCTTTTAAGCATCTGTTGCTTATGTTGGCTCTTTGTACGCATCTGTCTCTGCTGTGTCTTTCCCATGATGTGTTTTTTGATGGTGGCAGCTAGCAGATGCAATCGGCTTGCAAGGCTTAATAGAATATTTTTAAAGCAAGATTTCGTGTTTTTTTTCTCGAGTAATAAAGTGTGAAAAGTGAATTAAAATCACGTGGTATGTCAGTAACAACTGGAATTTCAGCTGGCTACAGTTGGCTTGGCAACAACTTTGCAGTACTGAAGAACAGTGCGTAGCTTTCTAAAAAGCCAGTCGGATAGTTATGTTACGACGATCATTGGAATAGGAGCGAGCGGTAGACTTTCTATTAAAATAAACCCAATAGTTGTGGCATTGGGTTGATTAAATGTCAAGCGCCAGTCTTGACTACTTTTACTGGAAACTGAAGATGCCTCGACGGATATTGGAGAGGCATTTGGCTGACCCTGTAGCCGGTACTGCTAATACCAGTACTTGTACTACGCAGCATGCATCTGACCAACCTTTTGTCAAGATCTTGTACCCTTCGAAACACCTGCCCAAGGACACCACTTCCATGCTGGTGTTGGATTCCTCGTTCAATCCTCCTACAAAGGCCCATTTGAATCTCATGGTGCATACTTTGAATACTCTTGTTGGTCCGTCTGTACAGTTTGACTGCTGTTTAATGCTTTTATCAACAGTTAATATGGACAAACCCTTTGTTGCACCGATAACATCTCAAGAACCACAAAGTGTAGATCTGTCTGCTGCCACATTGTCACCATCGACTCCAGTCCTTGACCGACTTGAAATGATGTGTAGTTTGATAGAGAGTATTCCATGTATTCCTGCCTGTCATGTTGGGCTAACCAATCAGGCTAGTTTTATTGATAAGCTTGCTGCCATTCAGTCTTCATGGCCATCTATTACTACTGTGTACTTTATCATGGGATGCGATACGCTCAAGAGGTTCTTTGATACTAAGTACTATCAGTCACTAGTTCCTTTGTATCCATTAGGAGTGTCAAACGATTCGGTCCAATCCAAAGAGCCAGATCAGACTTTGAATATCGACGGTTGTGTTGGCCAACTTCTTGCTCATCGGTTTTTTTATCAAGGTGGTCGTATCATCAGTGCAAGTCGTCCAATTCACTCCCCCGCCGCTGTGAATACAGAATGTGCTGATCACACTGCTGTGATACACACATCGGATGTCATCGCATCTGCATTGAAAACAGGAACGCTTCTTCCTTTGTGTCAATCCAGCATTATCGAATTGGTAGGATGGTCAGTCCCAGAAAGCGATGCATCGACCAAACCGCTATTGGATCTTATTTCCAGTTCTCATGTTCGAGACCTATTTGCACACTATTGGTCCATTCCATCAAACAGTGGTTTACTCGATCAACCTGTTCCACAGGTCGCCATCTCACGCTCCTATGAAGATAACTTGATTGCAAAGCTTAAGCATTTGATTGATGAGACTATATTTGAATATATTGTTGATCATCACCTGTACTGTCCATAGCTGTTGGAAGATTCTAATCTAGCTAGAATTCAGACGTGAGTACCCAAACTATACATTCAGTTCCACAAGTCTGAGTTTGATCTAATTAGACTACAAAATCATGACTCACAAGTGACAAAAAGGGATGAGAATGAAGAAATGAAAGAATATCACAATATCTTCATGTTTTGAAACTATTTCGATAGCACCAAGCAGGTTGTTGTAGCTTTTCAAAATGAGAATGATCTGTAACATTGCACGGTTGATTTAGATTAGCATGGACTGTATACAGATGGAAGATTGAAAATCGTGTCAACAAGAACGAGTGACGTTGCCTTGTATTGAATCGAGTGGGTCAGCAAACTGGCCGTGTCAACAGATTGGATTGCCGCGACACATGAAATACGATCCATGTTCCCGTCACTCAAATCAACAATCTATCAATATGTACAAAACACCCAACGAAAACCAAACATGGTATCAAGTGACATGTATTCAAACATCTCCAAAAACATGATACAATGGTTGATGACAATTCTTCATTTATCTCTTCATTCTCATAATTTGCTGCTAGCTGTGAGAGTGGACTAGCAATAGGGTGTAAACTGACCAACGCAACAGGAAAGTTTCGAGTAAAGTCAATTCAAGTAACGACATGTACAAGCCAGTTTAATGATTTAAAACAGATGATAATTAAATTGTATTTACTATACACACCGCAATCAAGTCAGTAGTATCTGACAGCTATGGACCATCTTGAATCTATGGAGTCATACCATGACAGTCCAGTAGCGACAATGTCCGTAATGACGGAAGTTGTTGTCGTTGACAAGTATTATACATGTATAAAGGATGCGTTTGATTACAATGAGTTTTAGGTTTGAGCGGTTGTAATAAACATGGCAATGTGACAATATTGCGAGAGTGTCTTGTAGAGTTGACTGGTTGGAGAGATTTCAATCTCAACGGCAACGTAATAGGTTCAAACTCTGCAGAGTTGCCATCCTTTACCGGTTGAATACTAGCACAAGTCTGCAAGTGACCTAACTGCGATGTGTTCAGTGCTTGGCTATGCGGACTATGAACCGGAACTAATGCAATAGGATCTGAAATGGGTGTATTTATCCACATTAGATGGTCTGTGGTGGGACTATGATAGGTGGTTGACACGATGGAAGGAACCCTACGACCTTCATAGCCATCATCGCTATATCCGCTTTCCTGATCACTTCCGGTAGACAGAGCTAAATTTTCGCGCTGCAGACTAATGCTTGTAGTGTAGCGAGGGGTAAGGCACCGGTTTTTATCAATATGAATGCCGTGCTTGTAATCAAGCCCGGTTGGCTGAATTCGAATCTCCGCTTTAGAGTCTATTGTATAGGATGGACAGAAAGTCGTACTAGGTGTTGGCAAGGGCTCTTGCTGGTGTGGCGTGTTTTCAAGACCATACTGTTTGACTGCTCTGCATGAATTCATGATTCGGTACAACGGTGTCCGTTCTCGCTTACTCTGAATCTTGAATAAAGCAATCCGTAACCGCTTCCTAAGTTGTTTAGCTATTATGTGATAGTTTTTTTGCGAAAATGAACGATGCACATTCGAACTAGACGGAATGGTTTGATTGATCACAGATTGGGTTGGGGGTAAATTTGCCATGGCGTCCATTGTAAATGTCAATTTTAGTATATTTGATTGATGAAAAACCGCAAGATCAAAAAAGGAAATGAGCATGTATATAAATAGATGGCAAGTTTCAAGAAATAATGAGGCAATAAAATCTAGGCTTCGAGGGGAAGGGTGTTTTTTAAATTTGCTCTGCATAATCTGATTAAGCTGTAACGAGGGGCAAGTTCCATTCAAAGCGGCACAGGACTATTTTTAAAAATGATGTGCTGTTTGTACAAAAACAATTATTTTTGAATGACAGGCTGGTAAAGCTTATTGAGAAAAAGCAAGAAGCTAGATTATGTCAGTAACACCTGTAGCAGGATTAGATGTCGTACAAACAAATACGTGATCTATCCATGCATATGTAGCTGGTTGGTAACAGACGGCATTTATTACTTGTGTACACATGTTGTATAAGCGTGCACTTTAAAGTGGCAGTCTCGACAAATTGTGATAGGGTTAAATGATTGGGGCAAACATGAGGGGTAAAAATAGTCCGGACAATCTAACCCTGACTTATTGTTCAAGCAAACCATCTGTAATTCAAGAAGCTTCACCCGATACAAAGTCATTTTTTGAGGCCATGCATGGCAAGGCTAACCACGACTAATCATACTGTTGTAATGACCCAAAACGGTAAAGTTGATGGCTACGTATCTTGGCAATGAAAGCATATAACCAAAAACCCGCTATTTAGATAAAAATGCCTAGTGGTTTTACCATGGTTCTTGGCTTTTGATCTCCCTCGTGGTAAAACGAATGCTCACTGATGCGTATTTTTTCAGACATGTGCATTATACACGAATATATAGATGCCAAAACATTTGATGTTCAATGGATGAATCAAGCAATAAATAAATTGAGATGCGGTTAAGCGGAAAACAAACTTGCTTTGCAATGAGGGTAGTACATGTAGGCATACCTAGCTCATATAGTTTGGAAAGAGGTTTGCTATTTTGCCACTGTAATGACCACTCATAATTTAATAAATCCGCTATGTTATGATCGATTCCAGAATAAACAAAATGTAATCTATTTACAAATGATCATGTAAAACGGAGCATTTTTGTATTTATCTTGTGATGATTGCCTCTTGCTTCAAAACAAGCAATGTTTAAATGTTTGTTGCGTTTTCCGCTAGAAATTGGCTGCTTCAATTAACATTCTCAATTCTTGTTGAATAAACACCCACTATATGGTATGTACATGAACAAGCTATAGGTTTGGACTGAAATCATTTTTTTGAAGCTGTTTCTTTTCGTTTGGAATAACCGTATATTGTATGGTCAACAGGGTTGAACTCATTGCAATCCAAGTATTGAGGTTGTCAAATTTGTCTTTGTATTCTAAACTACTGGATACGTCCTGGTTCAAGAAAACAAAAATGGTATATTTCAGGAATGCAATTATAGATGCCAATTACCCAAAGACTAGTGTATTTCATCAAAGTTTAAACACAATTCCAACTAGTATATATTGCCAACAGTCGTTTTATAAGACTATTACAGACATCCTCGTTTGATATTTTATTTTATACGAAGATGGTTGTGATGTTTGTCTGAAATGTTGCTTAGTTTATTTTTGAGGTTGTTTAGACTCATTCTATCTACTATTCGATTGAGGTTCCAGGTGTATTGCGTAAGCATTTTTGTAGAATAGTGGAGCGGCTTGAAGTGACAGAAGCGCTGGATAAACCGAGTCCATTCCTACACAATAATGTGAATTTAAAGTAGTGTTTACCACGGCAATTGATCGGGACAATAGAGTATGCTTGATCGAAAGGAAATGGTATCAAAAACATCAACAATAGAAGAGTTGATTTATGCTATACAAGATTGCAAGCAAGAATTCAACGGAAACCGTATTGCTTAGTTGTATTAAGACTAACACGGTATTTTTCCATGCTCTGTAAACTATTATTTTTAAACCTGACAGCTGGTTATTCAAACTGAATCATAAGTGTATGTATTGGTATAGAACATGAAGCACAAGTAGATTGAATGTCATGACACTTGTATCAAACATTAAGGATGATTAGCGCGATGTGTTTGTTTTGAATGAATTACAAACCAGTTGATTTGTTGAATACAACTTTCAAATGACAGTAGAAAGCATCTTGAACACGAATCTAGTCTTAAACTACACATTCTGTAGTTTGACAAAGAGATTTGAATGAGTAATGCATGATAACTTTTTGAGAGTTGAATGGAATCCATTATAAGCGACACGCATGATAGCAGTGAATGATGTATTTTAACTCGACAAGGTGAAATTCAACTAGTTTGAAGTAGGTTTACATGAACTCTAACAACTGATAGAATGATTACAGAACAATCTGCAATGAATAGTGTTGCCGATCCTTTGACCACTCGGTCATTCACAACTCGCTCATTGACTGCTTTGTCATCTTCTATTGCCGATATCAAATTATTTTCCATGAACACTACAGAAGCCATTGCTGTTGATACCCAATCTGCACATCAACTGCCGTCCTCTTCATTATTTTCAACAGTTCATCGCTTACCCAGTTTGAATGTGCAGACTTCTGACTACATAATGGATAATCATGACAGCTCAGACGACTCTTCCGAGTCATTCATACCTCCATCACTGCAACAGTTTTTTACTCGCAAGAACCATCGACCGTCTTCTAAAACTCAGAATACTCTGTCAAAGGGATCAAACACTTCTGAAACTGAGTCGGACAGTCTGTCATTCACTTCAGGAAGCAGTCAATCTCCTGTCATCAGTAACACTTATTTTCTACCTCCAAGACCTTTGACTGGCAAGACAACTGGTCTTTACTTTCATCCTTCTACTCTTATGCACATTCAGCGTCTGCCAAACAATCATTCTCATCAGAAAGAACAACTATTTCAAATCGAACAGATGTTGGCTTCAGTTAAATGGCCTGCTGAAAAAAACTCGTCCAATTCATCAAATGTTGGTCGTCATCACACTAAAAACTCGTCTTCTGTTTCCACTGCTGCTCTAAATCTTAAGCATGCTGAAAGTACCGCTTATCCTCATTTAGAACAGAGTGTGTTGGTTTCCCCTCCAAAAGGTCATTCTTTTGCATCCTTATCTTCAGCTAGTGATTACAGAATGATTGGTAATGACGTCGATCATTCTCAATCTCGTGGTTATTCTGACCCAACTTTCGATATGCATCCCGAAACCCCTGCTCGTGTCGCTGACTCGTTCAAGGCTCTTTGTGATGCTGGATTTTTACCTCTGTGTCATCGTATTCCAAGTCGTTTTGCTGAACGATTCGAATTAGAGCAAGTTCACACTGCCACCCATTTGGATAACACGGCTAGAATTGCTGGTATGGTTGCAAAATCTTGTATATTCTGAATATCTCATATGACCATTACAATCACTTGTCATACTTGGTTTCCAATCTGATGTTATGATCCAACATTCAACCTCTGAACTTGTATATCCTGCTAATCACTTCAAATCTTGGTAGGATTAACCGACTTGCAGATGGATCGTTTGGAAGATCGTTATGAAGATACTTATTTATGCAAAATGACTCCTGCTGCTGCTGGATTCTCGTGTGGTGGTGCTATTGCTGCATGTGAATCTGTCTGGACTAACCAAGTCACTAATGCATTTGCTCTTGTTCGACCTCCAGGACATCATGCCGAGGCTCATCGTCCCATGGGATTCTGCTTTTACAATAATGTTGCCATTGCTACTCGTCGAATGAAGTCGGAATTTAACGTACAGCGCATTATGATTGTAGACTGGGACATTCATCACGGAAATGGCACACAGGCAGAGTTTTACGACGATCCAAATGTTCTCTTTATTTCAATCCATAGATTTGAAGATGGTCGGTTTTACCCCAACTATAGAGTGGCTGGTCCAGAATGGATTGGTGGAAAACAAGCCCGTGGACGCAACATCAACGTTGCTTGGCCATGCGCTGGGCTGGGTGATGCTGATTACATGCAAGTGTTTCGTGATTTGATTATGCCTATTGGCCAAGAGTTTGATCCAGATCTGGTTATTGTATCTGCTGGATTTGACGCTGCTCACGGCGATCCAATAGGCGAATGTCATGTCACTCCTGCTTGCTACTCTCAAATGACACATATGCTGAAATCACTGGCAAACGGGCGGTTGGTTTTAGTTCTCGAGGGTGGATATCATGTTCCCGTTGTCAAGACAAGTGTCGTGGCATGCATGGGTGTATTACTCGGACTCCCTCCTAATCCGATTTCTCCTGGTCCTCCTTGTAAAGCAGCCTTGCAAACTATTGCCGAGTTGAAATTGTATTTGGAACCTCACTGGAAGTGCATTCCAAAACTGTTTGATTCATCAAATCATCAACGCGAAGCTAAACTATTTGACACCACACAATTAGAAAAAGCAGATGCACCCACTAGCCTAGCTTTGACAAAAGCTTCTTTGGAAACTAAAAACACCAAGTTTCCTGTAACCATCATTTCTTCGTCATCATCAGCACTTTCCGTTTCATCAGGCTCATCCGTCTCGCCTGTAGCTCCTTCGCGTCCTTTTGCTGCAGTTGTACCTCCTGTCCGGACAGAACCTCCCACATTTTGGCAAGAAGCCATTCATCTTGTGCCCTTGAGTTTGTCTAAAGCCATAAAGATTTACGGCACAAAAGGTTATCACTCCACATCTGGGTTCCTGTTTGTGGTAATGCATACATACATGCCACCTTCCAAAGTATCAAAACGTGATCATCCACCCTATGACTTTTACGCTATTCAAGAGTTTGTCAGTGGGCTAATTAGTCACGGTCATCACATCATTGACATTGAGCTTCATTTGAATGAATCCGAGCTTAAAGGCGGCCAGAAAGATAAGGAAAAGGCTATCCGTAATATTTCACCCGAGGCCATTTCAATTTTGAACAAGAAAGCAATATCATCCAATGCTCTGTTTTTCATTGGAATTGACATTCCGATATCTGCCGTGGAATCATGCATTGAAGCCAGCTCTGCTCTTCAATGCAGTTTGCGGCATGTTGTTCTTGCAGGTCAATTCCACTCTTATATTGTTCAAGAGCACTTTAAGATTTTTTTAGTACGATGCTGTGATGTTTTCGTTCCTTCAGCACTAGCATTGGGCGAACTTGTTGCCAGCCCAACACATCAAACTCTTTCTGTCCCCAAACTATACTCTTGGGGATCACTCAATAGTCTATCCAATGAAATCATACACAAGTTTTCACGACTTGTATACTCATTTATTGCCACGGCGCTGACTATAAAATGCCAGTTGAGAATTAAGCGATTCATTGCCAATGGTGCTGACCTAAGCGGTCGTATTCCGTCTGGAAGTAATGCTAAAATGGTTTCCATTGTTCATCCTGAGCCACTTGAAAGACCACCTAAACGAAAAAATGCATCCAAATCTGGTGAAAATGGCGATTCTGCTGCAACCAATCGTGCTAATCAGTCTCAACCTCTAAAAAAGTCGCGTGTAGAAGATAAACGTGGCGAATCTAGCAAGAATGACTCTAATTCGTCTTTAACTGTTCAGAGTGACGCAGATCAGGATACAAATCAATCCAAGTCATTTCGACGTAGCAATTCATCAGAAACTCGATCAGCTATAGCTTTTAAGCCAAATAGTACGTACCCTTTAATGATACATCTTGATTCTGTTGAATCTTGAATACTTATATTTTTACTTGCTTTATACAACATATGTTTTATTATCACCATCATTGCCTATATCAACTGTATCAGATACAGCCACCAAGTCTTCCAGTGCCAATAGGCAGTCTGTATCAAGCATTATCAATGCATCACCAAGTCACTCCAAGGTATCACTATTTCTCCCAAAACAAAATCTAGACATATCGGCATATAAACCAGCATCACAGGAAACATTGGCCATGACTACGGAGAATAAACCAAAATCACTCGCACACTATTTGTCTAGTCTGCATGATGATTCCAAAAGTAAAGCGCGACCGAGTACTCCTGATTCAATTGACATCACTGACTTGACTGTTGATCTGAATCTGCCTGATCAAGATAGCTCCAAAGCAAACCTGACGACGCCTAGTAAAGTGCCCAACAAAACCAATGGTATTGCTGAATCACCCTCCAAACAGTCTAAACATTCAACTCGGGCCAATCAGGTTTCAGTTTCACCAAGTAAAGTGGTCAAATCGCCTGTTTCTAAAACAATCAAAGCCAACAATCAGGAAAAAAATGGTCTTGGTAAGACACATGGCATTGACTCTGGCACTGTAGCCCAACCTTCTTCACAACACCTAGTAGACGTATATGAGCCTAATGGTGTTGCCGGAGTAGCAATGTTGGATATAGACTTGGTTGATGTGTTTGGTCGCAGCATCGTCAACCCACTACCAACGGGATCCAATCTATTTAAAAAATCAGTCGATACAGCTGAGCAGAGTAAGTTGGTCGGCAATTCACCCAAGAGCAAGTTACGCGATAATGCTAGCAAAAATGTTTCTGTGCTCGATAGTTCTATAGATTTTGACAGGACTACTTTACCTCACTCTGAAGAAGCTTCTCCTTTAAACAACAAGTCGGTATCTAATGTAGCAGAGAATATTGATGATGAAATGGAAGCAAGTGACGATTTATTATTTCCAGCACTCAATGATGACAATGATGTCAATGTGATTGAATAGATTCAACAAAAGAGTCCAACTCGAGTGCTTGAATGCAGTAATTGCTGAGCTTTAAAGAATAGTATGATTATACTTGCAATGAAACGAAATAATCAGTCGCTGTTTTCTCCTGATTATGTCTGCCAAACAATATACTTTTTGGGGTTTTTGTTTGATATTCGGTTTTTGAAAACGAGTGATTCATACCGACTATACTGGAGTTTAACAATTGAAATTGTAACGAATTAAACTGCTTTTTAATTCTCTATCCATACTTTTATCGCTGTGTGCAACTTTTTACTACTAGTGTAGCATATCTGTTGACTTGATGGCTTGCATCAAATTTTCATTTCTCTGCAACTTACTCATTCATCCTTTTTGGACACTAATCACACCATCTAGCAAACACATTTCATTCCATTGGCTTTTAAAAAATTTCACCGGCATCTCATTTTCATTTAAAGATGAACTAGGATCGTCTAAATTCAAATTAGAAACTGTCAAAAAGCTAGATGTGCTGTCTGTAATCAAACTAGGAAGAATGGGGAGTAGAGCTAGATTTAGCACTTTTAATCGAGCTAGAAAGAGTTGACGTAGATACTATATATTCAGCACCTGTAATCGAGCTAGGAAGAATTGGAGTAGGAGTAGATTTTCCATTTATAATCGATTTAGGAAGAATGGAAATAGATTTAGATTTGGCACTTGCAATCGAGCTGGGAAGAATTGGAGTAGATGTAGATTTGACATTTATAGCTGGGCTAGAAAGAGTTGAAGTAGATATATATGCAACACTTGTAATTGAGCTAGGAAGAATTGGAGTAGCAGTAGATTGTCCATTTATAATCGATTTAGGAATAACTGGATTGGCGACTGTGACCGAGCAGACAGCCAGTATTGATGACAATGCGATTGTGAGTTTCATTGTATTGGTTTGGTTGAGCAGGTTGTAATGAATGTCATTCAACACGTCGGTTTTGAACTATATTTATATGTTATTGAATGAGCGAGATTAAAAGCATATTTCTTGAATGACCGTCCTAAGGAACTCGTGTTTCAGGGTCAGTGTTGGCTCAATGTCAAGATAGTTTTAAAGGGAGTTGCGTTTACACGACAATCTGCCGTTGAAACTGAGAGTTCAGATCAGGGCTGGATTTCAAGGATATGCTGTGTAGCAATATCATAGTGCGGCATGTATACTTGAATCACCACATAATAGTACACAAGCATTCTTGTTCATCTACACCATTGTCACGAAAACACATTTATTACCAACGCAGTAGTACGTGACATTATATTACACAATCAACCAGTATAAGATCACTGGATACACCACACGTTGGTGTTTACCACCGTGTATGTGTGGTGTATATTGGTTATAGTCCATGATATCAACAAGTTTATGCATACTACTTACTCCACACATATCAAACCAGTTTAGTGGTATACAAGTGTTGCAGTTTGACCAAATCACAATCATCCATATTATCGACTGTCCAACTCGTTGACATTCAAACCGTGTCATCACTAGTCACAATATAATGGTTGACTGGTTTGGTTGATTGACCTGACATATTGACACTTTGCAAACCTCGACTTGATTCATCAACTTGGATATTCATATAATATTGGGTTTGTATCATCACGTTGGACTCGTTATCAAACACCTTGATGTGTCCATGCAACACAAACTCGATATACACACATTAGTTACTGTTTGACATGAATGGGTCGATCATCAATACCAGACAATGCAACTGTATTAGTTGCATGATACAATCAATCATGGTTGGCTCATCACCATCAAATATCAAATGTTGATCACGTATACATTGATTTGTAATTGCATGGTCCGTTGATAATGCACACTATGATATGATTGGCAAGTTGTTGATTTGCAGTAATCAGATGTGCATCACCTGTAACATTGGATGCAATTGGCGAGTTGTAACCGCCAGTCAACAATCATCGATATGTTGGTGATTGTATTGACTACATGATTGGTATTGATTAGCTGTCATGATCGATTGGTGAGCAATACAATCCACATTGATTATGACGTGTCGCAACTAGTTGATATATGCAAACTCGACTGATAATCGAGTATATGTTGATGAGTAACTCTGTCACTGTTGGTTTGATTGGTCGTTGCTACCGCTTGTATATGCAGTGTATGTCTTGGTTGTGTGTAAAACCAATATTCCAATAATAAGAGGCATTTCAAGATAAATACGAGTGTTCATTCTACGTGAATACGGCTGTGACAAACAGTTTGTTCAAGGGAAATATAGATGGGATCAAAAGATTATGGTTTTATTGTAATAAGGGAATACAACCGAGTCATCACTACACGACTAAAATAGAATGAAATGGAATAAATAAATAGCTACTGCCTTTTAAACTTTACATGATGTGTTTTTACAAGTCTTTAGATATATTGTTGTATATTATGCACAAGTCAGGAACATAATTGCGCATCTAACCAATCTGAAATGTGATGATGGCCTTGATGAATTGCGCAAGTACGAACAATTGACCAGTCTATGCGCGGAGTGTGCTTGAATAAAACTTTGATGACTTCAAAATGGCCATGTGTTGCTGTCCAAACATACGCAGAAAGAGAGCAAGTTTGCCCTTGATCAATAAGAAACCCAACTACAAGTGCATGTCCATTTTTGGTTGCAATATCAATTGTATCGCGTTGACATGTTTGCTTGCTAGAAGCATACAGAAATCGGAGCACTTCAATATGACCATTGATAGCAGCAAGATCAACCGAACGCCCAAAATCAGTATCTGAAATAAATGTGACCAACCATTGTATAATATCAAGATTTCCAGATGCAGCAGCACACTCTATTACTGAAGCGTCCCATTTGATCCAAGGCATGTGCAGCTTGACCCACTGGAGAGTTTTAAAATATCCAGATTTGGCAGCCATTTCCAAAGAGTTGTCCAAAAACAATGCGCCGATATTACGACTGTGCAAGTACATGAGAAGTTCAAGATTCCCATATCGCACACAGTAACCCTGTAGATAATCGCATGCAGGTCTTGTAGTCAATCTGGTGTGTTCCAGAAGCCAAATCAAAACCTCGTTGAATTTCAGTCTTACACAATCTTCAATAGGACACGTTTGGACGACTTTAGGGTATTGAAGTACTAAATATTGGATTATTTCCAGGTGGTTATTTTGAACTGCACCTGCAATGGAAGGTATAATTTCAGCCTGAGTATTGCATAGTAAGATTACTGCAGGAAGATGGCCATGAGTTGCAGCAAGTTCGATGGCATCAATGATGTATAGTTGAGGTATACCCGAATTCAGAGTACGTTCGATTGAAAAAAGGTCACCAATTCCAGCTGCAATGACAAGCTGTTGTAGAATGAATTTCTCTGAAAATTGCCATGATGAATCAAGGTCAAGAGTCTTGAGGTATATATGAGCTGCACCGACGTTGGCTCGAGTGGCCAATTCAACTGAATGAAACCATTCAGTACGTCTTGCACGAGACATATTCTCTCCAAGAGTAAGTCCTGTTATGGCAGACCTGTTAAAGATTAACCTTTTGGATGTCCATACATGTTTGTGCATTCTCTCGGAATGTAAAAATATCAATTCCCATGTGAGTGTTATTGCTGGAAGTTTTGAGACCAAATGAACAGCATCGAATGCCAAACATTGAGCCCATAGCTGCGACAAAGTGGATGCAGAATATGGAGTTTCTAGTTGACCATGAATCAATTCTGTAAATACGCCTGCATATTTGTATATAATTCTACGAAGTTCAAAGGGTAAACTTGTAAGTTGCTGGTAAAGAGAGATATTTTTCATGGCCAAATGCATGGTTAATGAGAGTAGTTGAGGACTTGTAAAGCAGTTTGAGCAGCGATGAAGGGCAAGTTTTGTAGATATAAAAATGTGAGTTGTATTAATGAAGGAAAACACCCGAATTTACAAGATTGAATAAGTGTAGAATGGCAAATATCCAAGTTTGTATCTGCACTTGTTGAAGCATTCTCATTTGATTCAACAGTAAAATATAAAGTTTAGATACGAATACAACTAATTGATGAATCTAGAATATGATTAAATGATGAATATTCCAATAGTTTTGACAATTGAATTTAACCGGCTTGCTCAAACTGCTCTCGATATTCATTGTGTCGATACTCGCTAATCTTGATATTCATTTTTATCGATATTTATTAGTCTCGGTATGAATTGCTGCATATTATTCAGACTGGATACTTGACTAACCTTTTGGATTGACTTTTAGTTTCAACTGGAATGGAATCACAAACCTCGCAGCAGCCTAGACAAACCTCAGCAATGTCAAGTACACTTTCAAGTGCAGCAGCAGGAGGATCAGCACTACCAAATATATCGGTTGCTCCAGTTTCTGGACTTCAATTGCAGAATGCATTGCAACAACCTGCACCAACTCCATCTTCCACTAATCTTGGACTTGGTGGAAGTCTGGCTGCTAGCTTGTTTGGAACTGTCACTTCTCCTCCAACTGCATCGTCTGTTCAGCCCTTGTCTACAGCAAACTCAGTATCAGTACAATATCCTACTAGTATGACTGGTCATCAGTCAGTCTTGACTCCACAAGTCATTCGGAGTTTGAGTGACAAGGTTTATGAGAAACGTAAAGCTGCTGCAATCGAAATCGAAAAGTATGTCACCTGGCTGTAGATTCCATCTTGAAGTCTTGTCAAATCGTTCTAGTTTATTACACTGCATTTTGACTGTATAGAACGTGGCTGATTTGATTGTAATCTTCAAATATATTGTTACAGATTGGTTCGTGATGCTCTGATTGCAAACGATAGTGCACGCATTGGCTCCATTCTTATGGTTTTGGCTCATGAATTCGCTTATTCTATCGTACCCAACACTCGAAACGGTGGTCTTATTGGTCTTGCTGCTGCTGCGATCGCTCTTGGTCCTGCAATCGATTCTCATTTAATGGATATTGTTCCTCCAATGTTGGCATGCTTTTCTGATCAAGACTCGCGTGTGCGATATTATGCTAGCGAAGCTTTATACAACGTATGCAAGGTTGCTCGTGCAAGTATTTTGATATATTTCAATGAAATATTCGATGCACTATGCAAGGTATGCTATACAATTGCTGTTCAACTTGTTAATCCATGATTCGACTTTTTTAAACATGCATCGTGTATCTGCAATGAAATCATCATGCATGCTAATAAAATCATTCAATTAGCTTTCTGTTGACCAAGAATCATCAGTAAAATCTGGTGCAGGTCTTCTTGATCGAATTATCAAGGATATTGTATCAGAACGTTCAACCTATTATCATTCAGATATGGAAAAGCAGGCTGCACAAAATGACGTCGCTTCTACCAGTCTTTCTAAAACTGAAGGTGATATGTCAACAAATAGTCGAGCAGTGCCAGTTTCTGTTCCAGTTGATAGCACAAGTCATCCTCTTTCGGTATCTCCTGTTTCTAAAATATTTCCTCCTGTTCCTGGAACAACCTCACTGCGTCCTGGAATGTCACCTACCTCCTTCAATCTACCACGATTTATCCCTTTATTGGCAGAACGGATTTATGTCGTGACTCCGGCTGCACGCATTTTTCTTGTTCAGTGGATTTACCTTCTTAGTTCCATTCCAGATTTGGAATTGATATCCTATCTTCCCGAATTTTTAGATGGACTATTTCGATTTTTGAGTGATCCAAATGTGGATGTTCGTACCGCAACTCTCAATGTGCTCGTGGAGTTTTTAAAAGAGCTTCGTGATATTGTTCAGGTTCAACGGGAACAAGGCATTCTTCAATTTGGACCTGAAAAGGAACTGCCAGCCTTGGCTCACTCCACACCTATTGCCAGCGATTCAACAGAAACACCTGTGCTTTCTGGTTTACAACCACATCAGGACTTGCCTTCTAAATCAACATATGTTGATAGCCCACATGCTTCTGGATCACTGGACGCGGTAACTGTTGTAACCTCTACTTTGCCTTTAGATGGTGTCGAGGCACAACAGTCTAGTCAAGTTTCTGCCGATAAATCGTCCCAGTCTATGACGTTGAATCCTTCAAGCGTTCCTTATATTCCTGGTCAGGGTGTATCCCTTGATTTTGGGAAAATGACGCATATTCTGGTACCTCATCTGTCTAGTCAAGGTTTGTACAGACGCTTATTGGGATGCCAGTAGCAAGACATGTCTTGATGGCTGTGTGTGATGAAACTCGTTATTTTGGTTTGCCATACATATTTACAACGTCAATTATACGTGTGCTTTATAGATGAGGAAACCCAAGCCACTGCACTACGATGGATCAACGAGTTTATACTGCTTGCAAAAGACACAATGATTCCATTTATGCCACTTATTCTCCAGTCCATTTTACGTACACTTTCGCATTCTGTGATAGCTATTCGCAATATGGCTATTGAAACCAACTCTACTCTTTACGCGTTGGTTTTGGGATGGTCTGGAAACATAACCACATCATCTGCAGATTCAACACATGATCAAAGCTTGTCAAGCGGAGGCAAACCAGATGCAGTCGCACATTTGAAAAATACACCATTTTGTTCTTCTCGTTTAGAGCTGGACGTCTCTGCATGTGTAAATATACTAACGCTTTTGTTTCAAGATGAAATGGAGTATACCAGAGCTGCTGCTATTGACTGGTTGACAATGCTTCATAAAAAGGCTCCGGAAAAGGTGAGTAATGATATTTGAAACCAAATGAGGTTTGTCCTGTCAATGCATTTTGATTGTAGCTAAACGGACAATATTGATACACGCAGGTCATGCACTCATCCGATCAACGAACATTTCAAGCCTTACTAGGAACTTTGTCGGATTTGTCCGAGGAAGTGGTTAAACGTGATTTGCAACTTTTAGCACAAATTTCCCATTATTCAGACGATCAATATTTTACCAATTTCATGGATAATCTTCTTACATTGTTTTCATCAGATCGACGCCTGCTGGAGACTCGAGGAAACCTTATTATTCGTCAACTATGCTTTAGTCTCAATCCCGAACGAATGTATCGAAGCTTTGCAGAGTTGATTGAAAACGAACAAGATATTGAGTTTGCTAGCACTATGGTTCAAAATCTGAATTTGATTTTGGTTACTTCTCCAGAACTATCGGAACTTCGTCGTCGTTTAAAAAATCTGGATTCTAAAGTTTGTATTTTGATGCTAACCACTTGATTTGTTATATACTTGTTAATGTGTAAATCTGCATTGATATATAAATAGGATGGATCTGCACTGTTTGCAACACTATATCGTTCATGGTGTCACAATGCAGTTGCAGTACTGTCATTGTGTCTTTTGGCACAGGCATACGAACATGCTTCCCATCTTGTTAGTTCCTTTGGCGATCTAGAAATCACTGTCCCGTTTCTTGTTCAAATCGACAGACTTGTTCAGCTTTTGGAATCTCCTGTTTTTACCTATCTACGCCTTCAACTACTTGAACCTGATTGTCATCCTCATCTTTTCAAGTGCCTTTATGGAGTTCTGATGCTACTGCCTCAGAGCAGTGCATTTGCCACGCTTCGCAATCGTCTTAGTAGTGTTGGCCCGCTGATATCATTGTATAACACACCGAATGGTTTAGGATCCATGTCAACTTCTGGAGCTGCTCAAACTGGATCTACTTTGTCACAATCCACCTCTCACTCGACTCGCAGGTGTGTGAACTTTTATAAGCAACTTTGAATGTTTGGTGCGGTTGTAGAACATGGTTTCTAAATGATTCTTTTTACATTTATTTCATTGTCGGTATTCTATGAACGCGTGTATTAGCCATCGATCTAAATCAGGTGGATCGACATCGACTTCAGGAACGTCATCTCAAAACCAGCATCATCAGGATTTTGGTATTCGCTGGCAAGATCTTATTGCTCATTTTCGAAATATCCAGCATCGACAAGAACGAAGTCGTCGTCAAGGTATATGTAATTTGGATTCATTTTCTGATATGGAACGTAAGTTTTAATATCTATCATGTATTAGCGACAAGACTGACTTCTGTGGATCGACCGCACAAGAGTCGCCATGATGGCGATGGATCCAACACTGGTATGAATTCCAATAGTATAAATGGAGCAGGATTATTAAATCCAAATGTTGGAGGTAATTCACTTTCAGGTTCGTTGTATGGCAACTCGGGAAATCCAGCTATGGATTTTAGCATATCAGAACCTCTCAACTCTTTGCACATGTCTGGTTCAGTAGGTACTACTCACGGTGGAAGTGGTTCTGATGGAACAACAGTATCTGGGAATTCTCGAAAAGAACGTGTTGCAAGTATTGCATCGTTGTCTTCACTCAATGTTGGCTCGGGGGGTCGATTTCGCGCCTTGTCCACACCACAAACCATTCCTGAAGCCATATCGGCACTTCCAGTTCCATCATCTCGACCTAGTGGCAGCAACGCCAATACTAGCAATTCGGGAAATGCTAGTCAGGCATCACGCAGTGCCATCACTAGTCGTCGTGGAGCGTCGTTTCGTTGAAATAAAGTACTTTTTTTAACTCACTCGTGTAGAATTATCCATGTATAAATGTTGGTATTGGGTTGAAAGGTGTCCATTTCAAACTTGATTGTATTAAAACAATAATTATTTATTCATACCAATACTGAAAGGAAAATGTTGAAAGGTTATTGAATCAAGATGTAAACAGTTGAGTGTGAGAATGGTTCAACTTGATATAGAAACCAAACTATTCGAATAGTCCGATATACCAGCGTCGTTTTCTGCAAGTACACGAATCATTGGTGTGCTGTATGTCAAGTTTTGTACAGGAACTGAGAGAATTACACTGCCTGCACTAACATTATCCATTACACCCGAAGCAATAGTTTGAAATGTTGTCGAGATGTTATCAACAGATTGCTGTACAGTATACGTTCGAGCACCTGGAGAACCACGCCAAATAATGTCCAAGCTTTTGGTGGTGATTTTGCTGCTGAGAAGAAGGGGTGGATCTGGTTTTTTTACAGTTGGATGGGTATACCCAGTTATAGATGACATGCGCACTGCAGCAGTTTTCATGATATTCATGAGTGGTATTTCGTCACTTGAAAATCCATTTTGAGCATTGGAAGGAAATCCAGGATAATGATAGGACCAATATCCAATATTTTCTGCATGTGTATCTAAAGACACTATGTTAGTGGAATTGAATCAAGATTAACAAGACTGATTTACTCACAATAACCACCATTTCGAGCATGCGGCCTGAGACTCCAACACAAGGCGCCTACAGAGCTGGAAGATATCAATGCGTCGATAAACGATTGAATTGAATTAGGTTGAGCTAATCCGAATTCACCAACAATGAATGCTTTTTCATGCGATGTAATCAATGAGGAATCAGCCTGTAATCTTGATGCGTAAAAATTACTCAACAGTTGAGTAGTCAAAATACTGACGAGTGATCCAATAAAAACAAAAGTCAATACGAGCATTAAACAAACAGCAACTTTTTGACGCCGAGAACGATCGAGTTTGGATGTATTTGATGGGGTATTGGATTCGATCTGCTTTCCATCGCCCGGTTGTTTGTATGGTTGAAACAAGGTGTCAGGTCGAGTATCGCGTAATGATTCGGGATCAGCTACAGAGAGTGACAAAGTCTGTTGTGGATGGATCAAGACATTGCCAAAAAAAGCCGGACGAAACCACATGAGTGCAGCTATTATCAAAGAAATAATCGACAGCACTCCTAAACTAATCAAAATGATGATGATGTACATGGGCAGTTTTTGAAGGAGTAAAAGAGCGGGCAAGGGATAGTAGTGATTGGAGAATATATCTACAGGAGAACTGGAAGCCAACAATTGAGCATCCCATCCATAGATTCCAAAACTGCCATCCATGACTAGATGATTCGCGTCGATGGATTTAATGTAATGAGTGATATTTAGAGTCCATGCAGCAGGGACTGCAGTCGACGCATCCAGACTTAATTCGTTTCCAGTTTCCCATGCCAGAATATGAGGGTCTTGCGAGTAAGGCACTCCAGTGATTGTGTTGTTGCGATTCAACACTGTAGCAATCAACAGTCGAAATCCATTCATGACAACATCATCATTAAAAAAGTTGGTGCTTCCGTACATGGCAGCAAAAGACAACTTTCCACCCCAAAATTCCCAGTTGTCGATAAACGGAATAATAAGATAAATGCCAAGTCTACCAGCAGTTGCTATGGCACTGTCGAGACTCTTGAACATGTCTTCATTCAGAACCCAAGTGACATTGGGTGTTCCATAGTTTGCTTTAGGGATAATATGACGAGAGGTATCGTTGGATAGACTGGGAATACTCAATGTGTAAGTACGGGCTACTCTCCCACCAAGCTGACGTATGGATTCAAGAGCATCGTATTGCTCAAATGAATCAGGGCGACCCCACCCTATTGGACTGTCTTCAATGACAGTAAGCGACGGAATATTAAAGGACACAAACCGTAGTGGACTTGCGTCCACTGGGTCAATGAGTCGATGACCACTTCTAGAAACAAACGCAGTGGACATGATAATGTGCAAGTAGGGTCTTGATTCAAATGTAACAATAAGATGACTACAATGTTTCGAGTCCAAGTAGCCATGCATCCAGTATATGGAAACATGCCAAGCACTTCAAATTGCGGCACCAACAAGCTTGACTGTCCTATAAACTATCCCAACCTTTTGTCTAAACATGAGATGTATTCATGATTTATTCAAGACTTGTTACAGTCCTTGGACTGAAATGATGTGAGACATTTGGTTATTGTCCATATTCCCTTTGGGTTGTGGTTCACGCTTGTGGAATTGAAGTCCACGCGGTTTCACGACTGTGCGTGCTGTAGCTGGTGAGGACGGTGCAGGTCTAGTGCTTTCAGATGATCCTCTTTGATTGCCTATTAGCTTTTGAAATACACTAATCTTGGGTGCCTTTTCCTCTGAAAAATCAATAAAACGAAGAGTGCACAGTAGAATCACAGTACTAATCCCTAAAGCCCATGTGTCTGCAAACCATGCAAGCAATGGAAACGATATATAATACATTCTCATTGCCATGGTGTAGAATAATGCACCACGGTTAAGCATACTGCCAACACTGTTTGCATCTAAATGCTCATATGCAACAACTGCCTCATCCTCAAGCTTCGCTAACTCATCCTCAGTAACATTGACATTTACGCTAATACATACGTGGTTGTAAAATCTCAGCGATTGAGAAAGGAAAAAAAAGGATACTATATGTGACATCATAAAGAGTAGAATCTAATGATTTACCAATTCGCATCAATGTTTGTTAGCAAGTGTATAAACTATACAAGCGTGTAGTTTAACCATCGCAATAAAGTGCTTGGCTATGATCTACAAAATTATTACCTTGACTCCAAAAATGTTATTTGTAGTAAAGGCAAATATTGATCCAGGTGCTGGCTCACTAGCTTTGGCAAGATTGCTTATAAACGCAGCAAGACCAAATATAATTGCAACCGAAGTCGACGCAAGAACAGATGTGGCCATGATATAATTACGAAGAGTTTGAACTGGGTTTTACAAAATCAAATGATGAGATGCTTGTTTAATCTCCAACTCTAAATTAAGCATTGGGTGATTGGCATGTACAACTGCATTCTCAAGACATGCAATCATTGCTCTATTGAACTAGAGCGCAAGCATACAAGAGTTTAGAATACAACAAAATGAATTTGATTGTGTACGCATCATACAATAAGTATTGTATCTATTAAAGAATTGTGAATGTCTTGAGTCGACTTGCAGAGAAAAGCAAACACTCAACCATTGTATATCCCAAACCAAGAAGCAAGTATTCTATTTTACGTGAATACAACTGTAAATCATCAAATCCAACCCACCTGCAAGAATCTCTTCCTTGCGATACATGATTGCTGCAATCCATATGCGTCTACATTCCATTAAAGATATTAAGCATGTCAGATTAGATTAGCGCTATTTCAAGTAGTAAAATACAGCAGAGCAGCCTTATTGACAAGACAGGAGCATCAATAGTGTGTTTGAAATTTCAAAACTTTACAACAGAGTATCCGACTTGACATGATGAATATTGGCTGATTGAAGCTTACCTTGAAGCAGAAGCCAGTCCAAATACGGTTTGAGCAGGACTTTTGTAAACTTTCATTATTAGCCAAGCATGATAGCAAATAATAGATGTAAGGCACACACATCCAGTAATGATATCAACAGTGAATTGCGACATGGTCAAGAGTTGTAATAAACCTCTGCCAGATAAATATTTGAAATGGTTCAACTCTGCAACTCGTCAATTTTTAAGCATTAATCACGTGATTTATTGTCAAATCTCCCTGCATCGGCTGTGATAAAAAGCAAACTCACACCAGAGCCCTCGTCGATCTCATGCCATTGGACCCGTTGGCTGTCGTATTCACGGCTAATAAAAAACAATAGCCGAAGACTCACTGCTGTATCCACGTAAAACAAAGTTTCAAATCTACTAAATACTGTCTGAACTCGACAAAGTTGACTGGTCTCTGTCTATCCTTGTATAAAACTGGTCAACTATCTACATCTGTTTCAGTACACTCTACACTTGTCCAGTATTCAGCCCTTTTTTGTGCAAATGTTACGACATTGAGTGATTGATATGAAAACAGCAGCTGCATTTCCGAAATCCCCAGACCTTTTAAACTAGAGCGCGAATGTACCCGATATTAAGATGCAAACTCGAGCTTATAGTTGGATTGTGTGCATCGTATAATGAACGTTGTGTTGATTGGATTGAGAATGTCTAATCACTGAGATACAAGTATTTCATTTTACGTGGATATGGCTGTAAATAAATGTAGTTGAGCGCATAAAATTCGGTTTAAAGATTACATATGATGATGTAGTTCCACTATTCAGGTCTGTATCTATCCTAGATGCAGGATTGAACTACTTTGACGCCTTTTTTGGATCTGCAAGAAATACTGTTTTCAAAAAAGTATGCTGTCTCAAAACAACTCCTCCTTCACGTAATAACGCAGCAGTCATTTCATCCATGCTATATGAGTTCAAAAATACCACTTCCTTGACCCCGACTTGAACTATTTTTTTGGCACATCCTAAACACTATTTACAAAAAATGATTAGCAACAACATACATTATGGTTGGTATTAAAGCAATTGAACATTATGATTGAAACAATCCATTGGTTTGTAACTTACAGGGCATGTATTACAGTATAAAGTAGTATGTCCTGATCCACTGATTCGTTCGCGACCAGCCTCCAGCAGAGCATTCTAGATACAGTTTTCATGTTAAACATCAATCATTTCAATTGCGATTGGTTTAAAACCAACCCACCTCTTCAGCATGCAAACACAAACAAGTATCTAGTTGAGATCCACAGCTTGCATTGCTATTGCATCGCTGACATCCACCATCATTGCAGTTGCGTATCCCACGCGGAGTACCATTGTATCCCGTTGCAATCACCCGTCTGTTGTTGACAAGGATACACCCAACCCGTCGTTTCATGCAATTACTGCGTCGAGCAGCTAAATCGCAAAGCTCCATAAAATAAGTATCCCAATTTGGTCGTAACCGTTCATGATTCAACAAGTCGGTCGAGTCAACAAGCATATACAAATCATTTAGACTACGAGCCGTGTTGATAATTCGCACATCAGATTTTGAAATGGTCAGATAGAGTGCAGGTCGGTCTAATTTTCCAAGTGCACACATGGAAGATGTCTTTTCATCTATAAGCGTTGAAGAGAGATCAGCAGCAGGTACATCAAGCCCAAACATGACTTCCTCCTCGTGTTGTACAAAACGTTCAAACCGTGCCTGTTGACAAGAGTCCTGCAAAGTAGACATGGTAGAATATAGAGTGAATCCATTTGTGGATGAATGGGTGCTGCTCACATGTAAATTATCCAGTACAGGCGTAGTATTTTCAGACAACAATCGCTGCCATCTCAAATGCATAGGCGCTTCGATAGATACAAGTAAAAAAAATGGTCGTTTACACAACACATCCCAACCAGAGATACAGTCTACATCGTCAATAATACAGTAACTCTGCCAGTTTTCGGTCACATAATTGTATAATTCAGAAATATTTGAAAATGTCCGAGACGACAAATGCGTTGATCCAGCAACACAAGAGGATTGTGAATGGGGCAATGCTATGGGATTGTCAGCAGATGAGTTGTCCGTATGCACCATTTCAGCAAGAGAACAAGTAGAACGAACCAACAGTTCAATAAATCCATATTTATGTTGCAGATACTTTTTAACAATGGATTTTCCTGCGTACGCTGGCCCAACTAATCCAATGAGCATTGTTACTGCAGATGAAAATTGTGCAAGAAACCTCTAAATTTAGTGATATCGAGAGCATACCAAAAACAACAAAGCAGATGAAAGTGGTTTCGATTAAACCACAATTGTAGAGTGTTAATCCGCATCTACACCAAGATTGCATGGATTTCATCTCATTTAAAGTTCTGTTGCATTGCTGATCTTTTTTGAAAGCTCATCTAGCATCATTTCTGTTTGCCGTAGTCTGACCAAGCATATAATGAACTCGAACAACTATGTATAATCCAATACTTTGTGAATTGGAAATATTCAATCAGTAACAATATTATCATCTGTACATGGATACGTGTAGTTGAAAGTAGTGATTAATCCTTGTAATCGAGAAAAGAATTAAACTTGAATTACAAGTAATGGTTAAAAAATGTTTATTCAAACAATTTCTTTAGATTCACTGCGTTTTTACCCCAAAAGCCAACAGAACTTTTGTTTGAATGTCGGTACAAGTACTTGCCACGTATTGGGAAAACTGTTGCCATTCAGTTTCGGAAATGTCGTTTTCGACACATCGCCAGATGGAGTGCAAAAGCATTTGCATGGAAGCAATCGTGGTTTCTGATAGTTGAACAAAGGATTCACAATAGTATCTTGGAGAAGAGGCGTAAAAGCTGCCAATATGAATCTGAGAGTCATATAGATGCAACATTTTGTTTCCATAATTGCTTTGAAGGATCGAGGATCTAAACTCTGTCATTCTCTCTGCCATTTGATACTGATGCCATTTTTCTTGCACTGCTATAGAAATATAGCTATTGACAAATGCAACTAGTTTTCGACCACGACGAGCATACTCGGCAATCGATTGGCGTATTAAAGAGTATCGGATTTGGGAAACCCACAACATACCTGCCTGTCCTGTTGAAACGATGCGTGGAATCACATCGTCAACCACATATACTGCTGCTAGGTGCCAATGTAGTTTGAAATTCTTCCATACATACGCCTGTTGCTTTGACATCACGTCCAAGACATGAATAAATGATTCCGAGGACAGCATATCATGCCATTGGAGACTTGCAAAAGTCAACACTTGACCTGGAACATGAACAGCTATACGATAGGTTTCTTCAGTGGCTATTTTAATATCAGAATCAGAAAGACCAGTTGCATCTTTTACAGTCTTGACAAAATTAGTCAATGCGTGATGATCTGCAATATCTTTCCAAACTTGCTTGGTAAGCTGTACAGTTTGGTTTCGTAAAGTATCCACCCGATGACTAGCAAAATCAGCTTCAGAAAGTATCCATAACTGCGATTGCTGGAGTGATTTATGAAGCTGTATAGCATCGACAGGACATACCACTTGAGATCTAGAGGACATGGGATCGCAAGCAACATGTACAAGAGTGTAGTATACAAAGCAGGTCAATAGTATACCAAAAAGTGCTGATAAAAACGTTGCAAAATAAAAACACTTTGATCCATTGTCTTGAGCAAGAGCTTTTAAAAATTTCTAAATGTCATTCAATACAATAAAATGTCAGTCATTTCATGATATCAACAAAATCACCATGCAAAAATAAACACACCTTGAATAGTTTATCGGCCGAATCAGCTTTCATAATAGCATCCGGATCCAGCTCATGATCAACACTTTTAAAAGTAGTGTGCATTTTCTTTCCCTTGATATGCAAAGATTTTTTAGGTGCATCCTGCAAATGTAAAGCTTTGTTTGACTTCATCATTGTCATTAAAGAGCTTTTCAGTTTTGAATAGTCAATATCACTACAAAAACCAGCATTCTGTTTTGCAAGCCAACTCGTTTTGGAATTGATAAAGTCTGAATAGAGATATTCAACCAAAAGGTTTGATTCATGAGTGTGAGATGAGTATTGATCCACCCACGTAGTTAGTACATCTGGCGAAATGGTTTTGGAGTTTCTGGTTACAGTCGATTGACGTGTAGCAATTGCCAAAATTTCTCCAAGAACAGAAACAATCTGTCAAAGATTAGAAAATAAAATTGGTAAAAATATCTAAACTAATATGCATGGCCAAATTTACCAAATTGTACCAAAAGCCAGGCAAAACGTACCATATCTACACCAGGTTTGTCGGTAACAGTTCCCAATTTTTTGAGAAAAGTCAAAAAAACCACTGAGTGAGACTCGGTTGCAATATTTGGAGTTTCCGAGTCAAACATTTGATTCTAAACATATAACAAGGTTTAAAATTAAATTGTGCATTGATTGCCAATACAAACGCTATGAATTCACCTTGATTTTGGTGAAAAGTAAACGCAGTCGAGTTTGATGGTCTAGCATTTTCCTGCGTTTGTTTGAAGAAGCATCGTGTTTAAATGCAGCATCAAATAGTTGAGCCATTTGCTCAGCTTTGATAAAGGGTAAAGAAATCTTGGTTTTTTCTGTAGAAAACAATCGAGCTTCCAGCCTAGAGCAATGCATATTTGATCATGGTAATATCACATGAGTAGTGAGCAAATCGTGTGAATTATCTTGTAGCTGCACATCTACAGGAACAAAGACAGATGGTGCATGGCGTCAAATAAGATCATTTACCTGTCAAGTAAATACTCTGCATACACTAAAGAGTTTTTTTGGATAGAAATAGCAGCATTTGAATTGACTTCTTCGGTGTGTGTGGCTTTGGATTTACTTGTAGTAGTAGACAAGACTCCAGTAGTAGTGTTTTCATAGCCTTCTACAAAAATGGGCACAAAGTATGTGAACCAATCTGTACGGTACGATTGAACATGTCAGCGCATAATAATAAAACTAGACAAGATAGTGTCTAGTCAATACACGTACACTCTAGGCTTTTAGGATGTGGTTCGCGAATACGATCAGAAAAGACGACACTTTGTTGTGCAAAGATCCATAGCATGGTGTGACCCACGGCAGGATTAGAAAAAAGAGTGGAGCTGTATGTCTTTAAAAGTATTTTTGCAGGAGATTGCTTATCTGCAGATTCGTTGAAATGGCCAAAAAAGAGATGAGGATGCGACATGGCAATAATTTGAATGAGTAGCTGATTCCCAATAGTAGTAAAGGTATTCGATGTACTGAGCGCATTGGCTTTCTTTTGACCTTCCACTAAATCCTTCCCAATAGAAACAAGCCCATTTTCCAAGATTTCAGGACGGCAATCCAAAGTATACTTGAGCAGTTCTTGAGCAACTTTTTCTGAAACAAATGGCATAGGACCTAATTTATACGAGACAAAAGTACAATGCATCAGATTGTGTCAGCGTGTACCAAACTCGGCAACACGATACAGTATTATGGAAAACAACCTCTCCAACAGGACTGATCTCGACCAGGACGATAAAATTCCAATTCAAAAAGTTTACTACTAAAGGGCGGTAAAGCGATCTTCAAATCGGTATTTATCATCATTTCGATAGATTCGCACAGATCCCGAATTGGGTCAGCATTAGACTGTTGGCGAATGGTATGAATTGAAGCCTTGAGTTTATCTAAAGAAAGATGACACATTTCCTGCATGCCAGTGTGAGCAGATGCCTGGAGAGGTTTATGCTTTGAACGAAGCGAGGTTGTGGATGGAACATTTGCACAGTTTTGATCAGCATCAACAGCAGACACAGATCCCTTGTGTTCCTTTATACGAGAACTGCCAACACCTTTGGTAGGAGTTTTTGGTAAATCCATCACATCCGGTACAACGGCTTCCTTCATAGTCAAAGTTTTGTTTGAAGACATGGAATCAGACACTTCAGAAAGAGCAGCGTAAAAAGACCTGTTCTTGACTAATGGCATAAGCCATTCAAATGCATGCCATGGATTAGTGAATATAACTAGACGACTGAAGGACCAAACAACTCTCAACTACACAATCATCTGAAACAGACAATTCAACTCCTTTATAGCACCACTCAACACTGCTGCAAATCTATCAGATTGATGAACATGAAGCGACACATTGTACAATACACACACCCTGGGCTCTAGGAGAGCCAGAAGATAAAGATATGGCTGGACTACCGGGTGTCGGTGTGGTTGAAACTTTCTTTGGACTTGCAAACGTCTTGTCCTGGTGATGGCTCAGAAACGACTTTGAGCTTTTACGAGGTTCAACCGACTCCCACTCTCCCATAATAACAACTTCAATCAAAAGACTGATATTAAACTCGACAGAGTTGACAACTTCATTTTGTATTTTACTGCCGTATTCACGTAAAACGCTAAATAAGGGTTACTGAACATGATCAACTCTTTTGTAGAAATATTCAACCATTGTTTATTCCAGTTACTGCAAGGTAATACAAGTGTTTTATTCTACGTGAATATACGACCATGAATTGATATTCCATTCGTTACAAACCTCAACCATTGTCTATGCAGTTGTTATTCTTGCTCCTGTTGCATCCTTTATTCCCAATACTAACAATGTACAGTATATCTGTATTAATACTCGAGTATATTGTCATGTCCATGTCCATGATCTGTCTTTTCAGTTTCTTGTGAATACAAAATACTAAACCGGTTTGAATAAAGCTATGCATTTATTCCGCATATAAACATGTTCAAGATTCTTGATCTGCGGTATACTGGTCTGACTGGAAGTAGTCAGATCAGTTGCTTGAGCTGTTTAATACTTTTAAGCTCTCGAATTCTGGCCAGTTTGTCGTTATTTTTGCTTGATTGTGTCATTCCATAAACATGTCATAAAATAGTATAGGAATGATGTAAGTCATGACATGCTTTGACTCTAATCAGACACTTGTTCTACAAATTCATTCAGTACAATTGTCACTCCAAAACTCACCTGAATCTCCAGCTGGATTTAGACTGTACAATTTTCAGAATCCAGGCAAAGAGCAGCACAATGTGCAAAGCAACAATCCCATGAATGATACTCCATTCACTGGATTCATCTAGAGCAGCATCGGTAGTATCGGGTATAATTATTGGGGGCACTGTTTCGATAAATATATCCAGCTCATGAGCTGGAGAGTTGGTGGAATGGAAAGTTTCGATTTGGTCTTGAACTGGCCTCGCTTGAGGCACTCTGGTTGAAAAACCCTGGACAGTAGATGAGTGATCAAGTTGTATTTGTGGATATACTTGGGTAAAAGAGACTGGCGTTTTAATGACAACCATGAGACGATGTATACCAACCCTGGTTTTGATAATGCAGATAAATAGCAATTGTGTAGCCCAACTTTTATTACAGTTGAATCACGTAAAATGGAACTTTATTTTGTATCAATTTTTTGCTTTGAAATAATCAATATTTGGATATTCGCTGTGCTTTCATTGTGTTGCATTTTATGTGAATACGACTGTACTGTAGATTCAGTCGTATCAATTGAATTGTGGTTAGTATTTTCAATGACTTGCATCGATTCGTTGCAATCTAATATGTTCAGTGGACTATAGATTTGACGGTATCGCAGTTTTACTAAAGCTTACACTCGTACTCGAGCAAATATCAAATTGTTTTTACTCGTAACCATGTACGCATATATATGCTTGGTTGTCTTGTTGATGGACATTTCTTGAATAACAAACTGCATATGATTTGATACACATCAGTCATTAGATATTCTATTATCGGCCAAACCCTTTAGCACAATAATCTCTGCATTTAACATCTGGTTCTGCTTTTCAAGTTTTTTAACCTGAAAACAAACTCTTCTAATTGCTTTTTGGCCATTTGATTTGCGTTTGATGTTTCTGTTGGTGACGTGACTGATCCATACGTTGCAGCCTCCATTGCAATTGATTTAATATCATGCAATAATCAATTGGCTTTTGAATTCGAGTCAATTCAAGTCAACCCGAGTCGGATCGAGTTGAGTGAAACAGTTTGTAATTCCAGATTATCATGGTTTGTATTCAATCTATGTGATGATATATACATGGAGCTTACACACGGTTTGACCACACGAGACAGCGACTGTGGTACGGTATCCAATGCCAGCAATATCCCGTTATTGTGAGACATTATATATTGCTGCCATTCAACAATAACATGTGTGTATATATGCGATTTGAATAAATGATCGTGTTACAACCCCTGACTATCCAAGTACATATTTGAATTGGCATCTGGAACTTGGTTGCAGGACTATCAGAGTCTATGCATATTTGCATGTATAGTTGCCAGTTTATGCTTCAAATTCAGTGACAGATAATCAACCAACGCTGTGTAGGTAGATTGCAATATTTGGGGTGTTTTCAATGCATTTTGTCCAGTAGTGTCTGGGATACGCACTGTCGAGTTATTGTGATGCCACATCATGGTTGTAAGTTGATACACG